TACTTACTTACGGTAAAATTACGGTAAAATGGTAATTTATTGGTAACTTTAGTAAAATTCGTTGTTTTCGACAGTTTCATGAGCAAATAGGTTGTATTCAGCCTATTTGTGTAGAAATTACCACTTTACCAGATTTCCAAAATCACCGTAATTTACCGAGTGAGTTACCGTCAGGTGTTGAATTATTTTTATCTCTGGTGTAAACACATGTGAATTCTCGTTATATCCGCATATCTTTCATACATACGCGAAATTTAGAAAACGATATTTATTTCTCAAAAGTTGAGCATAAAAAGCGTATAATAGACACGTTATTCGGAACATTTCTCAACTGATCATTGAAATCACTCAATTAGCGTTTCCGCGTGCTGTTATGAAAAAACTATCTCGGGTCTAAACAACGCGAAATAATGCTTCAGGGATCACAGAGAAACAGCGCAATGTTGCAACTACAGTCCATGAACTTTCGTCGATGCAAGGACCTCGACAGTGAATGTATTAAAGCAAGCAATGAATGTGATCCTTTCATTACGAACCAGTTACGGCGTACCTACAACTTACAGTACTCATTCGGAAAGCCGAAGGAACTCGAAATTGTGCGTTACGCCCGTTTTTTCTTTTCGCTAGCGCACTCGAGTGAATCGAATGTAATTTCCGCACAAATAATAAATAAATAACGTCAGTATTTGCAATGTGTAAACCGTTCTCGTAAAAGTGAGTTATTACGTGCAATTTTTAATTACGCGCCAAGTAAAGGGTATACTTTACGATTCTTATCGTTGCACACAAACCGAATGCAAAATCTAGCTCCAACGAGTAACTCGTGCGTGTTGCGCCGCGCGTATTTGCACTTTATATGGAATCGAGATTACGTGTCTGAACTTGACTTTGGCATGCCGCGATGTAACTCACTCACGACTGAAAATTCATTGTCATTCTTATCCAACGTCCGTCCCATGCCTCCCATTCGTCGCACACAGGTCAACAAACATCGTCGAAAGCGACTTTCGAAATCGTCTGTCGAAAGAGAGAGAGACCTGGAATCTTTTCGATTACACTTCAACTTTTACCGACTTGTGTAGTCCGTTATTTTAATCAATACTCCGTTAGTCACGATATCCAATAGATACCTAGTGTTAGTCAATTGTTTTTCATTTATTTCTGTTTTTTTATATATTTTAGCGACCAGTCTATTAGCTAAATGCTAATGAAAGAAAAATTGTTTTATCAAGCAGAGGAAAATAATGGGAAAATTGATGTATCAGATTGGTCAGAGTCTTTTCGTCGTATTTTGAGTCGCCTTACTTGGCGTATCTGCATTCAAAGCAAACCATAAGAGGGAGCGGAAAAGGTGATTGTTTTGAATTCATCTAACCTCGCCGCACAAAGTGTTGCAGACAGAGAGCACCTATGAGCTATTGTGAGTTTACAAAAAAATCGCAAAATAGATCTTCCAAAGCAGCAAATTAGACCAATTTTGTTATACGAGTTTGAAAAGGGCACGAACACGTCTCAGACCTATCGAAATTTGTGTGAAGCTTTCGGACAAGATGTGATCACCGTCAGATCATGCGAATTTTGGTTTGAAAAATTTCGAAATGGTGATTTTAACGTAGAGGACGAGCTCAGGTCCAGAAGGCCTTCGGTCATCGATAAAGAAAGCTTGCGAAGCAAAATCAAAGAAACCCCGGATATTACCACTCGCAAACTCGAGGCAGAATTCGAAGTATCTAATGGAACAGCTTTCACTAATTTGGCTTTGTATCAAAATTGAACAAGTGGGTGCTGCATGCATTGAGCGAGAGGAACAAACTTGGCCGCATCTCCAAGTGCGTTACGATGTTGGCCCGACATCGCAATGAAACTTTTTTTGATCAATTGATTACGTGCGACGAAAAATGGATCTTCTATGATAATGTGAAAATGAAGTTAGTGTGAGCCTGGAAGTTCAGCCCAGAGGACTCCAAAGCGGAACATCCACGGGCAGAAGATCATTAATATGTAATGGATGTGAGCGAAATTATCCACTATGAACTCCTACCAAAAAGCCAAACGATCAATACGAATCTCTACTGTCAGCAGTTGAAGAAATTTCAGAAAAAAACTCAAGGAGCCCCAACTTGTCAACCGTAAAGGTATCCTCTTCCACCAAGCAATGCTCGCCTTCATGTGAGCGCAGCCACGTTAAGAAAAATCGGAGAGCTTAATTGGGAATTTCTCGAGCACCCACTATACTCTCCTAACCTCGTGCTATCCAACTATCATCTTTCCAGACCTCTGCAAAATTTTCTTAACGGAAAAAAATTCAATTCGGGAGATAAGGTCCAAAGAAAATTGGATTTTTTCTTTAATTCCAGGATTAGCGCCTTTTTCAAGGACGGAATTTTCAAGCTGGTAGATCGATAAGAAAAGACGATCAGACTGGTCGACGAGGTGGAGACTATATTGACGATTCAAATAAAAACGCTTTTCGTGAAAAACAATTTTTTCCTTTTTGCGTAAAATACGAAAAGATTTTCTGACCAACTTAATATCTATGAGATATATTGCAATCATTCATGGATGAAAAATATTGGAATTAACGGAGGATTAAAATTAAATATCATGGTATAGATGTTTGAGCATAAATTTTCTCCTAATCGCACGCTATCTATCATGAGTAACGATAAGTCTGAGATGTAAAAATAACCCATATCTCCTTTCTTGTGTGTGTGTTATGCACGATGCCACACTTCGCAGATACTTGTATGACTTCATGCCGTTAGTAGCTACAATAATTATATAATCGTCGTGCATTTAACATAACTATCCTTTTCAGTAATAAGATCGCATTCGTTGACACTTAGTTGACACTTATTGTCGTGTGATCGACAAACCTACACAAAAAAAGAAGTGCCAGATTCAAGTAAATAATTCCAATACTTCTGAGCAATTTTTTACTTGGATTAAGTAATATTTACTTGATCCAAATAAAAATTTGCTAAGAAGTATCGGAGTAATTATTTACTTGAACACAGAATTGTTTTTCAGTGTACAACCTTCACAACCTCGTGAGATAAAAGAACCCGGTAAGAATTAAAGACGGCGCTTCTGAATCTTGCGGCGATGTCTCCGTGTGATAATCAATAATAAAAGTGGCATGAAAATGAATAATGATGTTACGTGTCCCAATATCAAATGCGAGAGGAAATACCGAAGTAGATGAATCACGACGACGACGACGATGACGCGATCAAGGAAATCGACTTTTACTCGGCTTTTATCTCTTTTGAAAAGAAGGACGCCGCGCGAAGGTTCTTATGCAGTCGATTGCAGGCGGAATATTGATGTGCCGCATTTTTTAAATTACGGTAAACGATCGACGAAGCCGAAGTGCACAGACCCAAAGAGCCCGTTGAGAAGCGCACGCCAAAAGAGGAATGAAACTCTTTTCGTCCCGAAACGTGACGTCGGCAAGCAATCTGCAATGCAGCCGCAAATGACGTAACGAGTTTGTGATCGCGGTCTGCAACGCAGCCTCGTAAATTCTCCGTCAAGCTGGTGATTAGATAATATCTTTTACTTCCCGAATAGAGAAAGTCTCACTTCGCGTCGGCGGCGCTCCGATGTATCACGATGACGTATCTCGCCTCCTGCAACGATATCGGCGTTACGTTGCCGCGTTGATCACGAGAACGCACATTACTTCATTCGCGAGAAAAACGCGACTCGCGTGCTCCGCTGAGCGCGTGTGTGCGAAGTAATTACGCAGTTACTTAATAACCCGGTTACTTAATCAGATGGAAAGCACCGCATCTCGATATTTAAACGTAGATCACTAATTGCGAGTTAGATAATAGCCTGCGCCGCAGCGGCAAGTTGCCGGACGACGGCTTGACGATACGAGAGAAAAGAGAGACTCGCCGAGACCATTTGTATACATAAACAATCATCCGAACGATCTGATTTCTCCCTATCGCGGACCCGAAAAGTTGTTTTAAATTTACATATCGAGAAATTTACATATCAGTGGAATGTGAGGACCAATTACACACGCGAGATATATAGAGAGGACGATCGGGCGAATTGCACGAAACTTCACAAAGTCTCGGTGTCAGAAATACGGGGCGAAAAGAATCTTTTCATTCGAGTCATACGAGCCAACGAGTCACGCGAATAACTAAAAATAGTTGTGAAAGTATTCTCTTTTATGCATATATGCCTCCGAATAGAAGTGAAAACCAACACGGAGAAAGAAAAGTTTGGTTGTATTAACCAGAAAGAGAAGGAACAGTCAAATACATTTTGGTTGAAACAAACAGAATTTCTGGTTATAAGAACTGCATTTCGGGCCATTAGAAGCAGAACATCTGTTTCCTTCAACCAGAACGCATCTGGTTCTTCGCCTTCTGGTTAATACAACTAAACAAAGATTTTTTTCCCATGAACGATTAATTGTGAGATCAGAATTTCACATGAGAAAGAGAGGGTGAGAGAGAGAGAAAGGGGGGGGGGGGGGGGAGCTACATGAGGTGGGATGAGNCTACATGAGGTGGGATGAGTTCCAAATGTCGAAAATCTCTAAGACGGTCGTCGACCCGGGTCGCTCTCGACCCGGAGCAACCGATCCTCATTTTCACTCTTTCGTACGAGTAGAGTCGTCGACCTACTTTGAATAGAAATACTTTCGCCGCATTCACGACGACCGCTGCCAACCGTTTCCGGCTCGATCGCCGCGACGGTTTCACAGATGAAAGTGTTTCTCTCAGCGCGCGCGTGCGCGTTTTCATCTCCTAAAAGGCAGATCCTGCGGCTCACGATCGTAATTTTTCACAACAAACTCTAATGTGATGCGACAAGCGCAAAACGACTCGTCGCATCAGCGATGTTGTACTCGCTCGTCATCGTCATTTGCAGTTTCAAACGAGAGCTTCGAGACTAAAATTATTGCGAAACAAAAAGCACGCGTGGTCGCGTATCGCAATGTATAATAATTATCGTGTCTTGTTGTTTTTCATCAGTGGACGACGCGTCGGGTAGATTCACCAATGGATTCTTCTGGGGTAATTCGTACTTCACGGGCTCGGCCACTGAATGCGATTACATCGGACAGGATTATTTGCAGAGGAATTCCGAGTCGTCGGTCGAAGAGGTGCGCGAATTCAACACGGAGCCGCGTAAGAGGATCAACACGGGCAGCAGCGGCGCCGGTCTGCTGGAAACATTGACTTTCGACGACAAGCCGCCCTATCGTCTGGGTTTCTACATGATACGACTTTCCTTGAACGCGTCCCGATACACGTCAGTGAGTACGGCAACGCAATGAGTAACGTGATTCACGTTCACCATCTTTCGCGCCATTTCCCACAACGCCACTTTTCTCTCTTTAGACGAGAGTGATCCACCTGGGTGTTTGTCTGCCGTTTTCGTGCACTGCCTCCGATGTCGCCGTGATCGGCAAGCTTGCCGCGAGCGATTTCGTGATGAAGCACTCGACGGTCGAGAAGGTCCGGGACCAGCATAATCTGTATGACATGTACGCGGATCCGGTCTTCTGGATCCTGTTGTGAGTCGCGGAAAAGACCGATGACCAAGCCACCTGCCGAGCGAAGCGCGAAAGGCTAAAAGATCAATGTGTTTCAGCGGTGTCAGCGCGACGGTGCTGGTAATAATGATCTTCGGCACGGGATACGACTATTACCTAACGAAGAAGTTCGCTCAAGTGCGAAGTAACGTGATCTACGACCTGGAGAAACATGGAAAACTCGATCGACTCGCCAACGGCAACCAGAAGGTGTTAAATGGTAAAAAGATTCATCGTATTTACATTCGAAAGTTCCTTGAGTTCATTTATTCACTTCGTGATTATCTTGAGACGGAACATCGAGCCGATGTCACAAGCCAGTTAAGAGGACTCCTCTCCCTGTTTCTTTCTCTCTCTTTCTCTCTTTAAATAATTATCTAACAGACTTGCAATGATGTTGGGGCGACATACTCTGAGTTGCTTGTAAACCATATGATTGAGAGGAAGAAGGGGGAGAGAAAGGGGAAGAGAGAGAGAGAGAGAGAGAGAGAGAGATCTTCGACTAAGAATTGTAAAACTGAAAACTAAACGACAAAAAGCGCAGTTTGTGCCGCGTTTCAGACGCGTAATAGCCGCTCTATAAATAAATTGCGAATAGTTTGCCATATCGGTGCATACACTAACCCGTTTTCCGATATGTAATTCTGATCTGTAAAAAGGATCTGTTGCAACTGTGAAACGCTATTAGCGTTGTCAGAAGTACAGCGATAAAGTACAGGATGACCATCACTCCACAGACTATTACAAGACGAAGACGATATCAGACGTAGTGATTCGTTGTTATATTCCGTAGCTTTTCAAGGTACGGTCTACCTTCCTGTTCCAGTGGCAGATTCTAGTACCAACGGTGTGCAGCCGAATAATAATAACGACCACGAGAGTGGCTTGCAGACGTCCACGACAGAGGCGCATCAGCTTAGTACGTACGCACGAATTTTTGTGTCTCGTCCGCTCTAAGGGTGCGTTCCGATATATGTTGGTATAAGGCTGGCAGTATTAAAAAATTATTCCGTTATTAGCATGCAGTGTGCTGCGACAACGTGCCATAAATGACGTCATAAATGGTCATATTGCCGCTGCGACTATTGCAGCTCCCGAGATAAGATACCCAGTAAGCGAAAAACATTAAATCAATTTTTTGAAACATTGATCTTACATGTATTTTATTAACATTTTGACATAATATTTTGTAAATGTTTTCAAACTGTTACAATATAATGTTGATAATATAATATCTTTAAATGTTAAGATCATATTGCATAAATATTATCTTTAATGTTTAAGTCAAATATTATTAACACTTTACCGACCGCTAGCAGTTCAACAGCATACGCACGTCCGACCGGCCGCTCGGCCGCAAATCCTCCCTGGTGTCGGCTCTGTTTCGGTTTAAACTGTCGCGCGGGAGTATCTGTGCTTTTCGTATGCTCAGATAAAATTGCCCGCTTTCTGTTATTATAGGATAATTCGATTTAATAAGTTCTTTTATTTTGATGATATTAATGCTGAATTATATTTATTTTATCTATTACAACGGTTTTCATTAAATAGTTATATAATATACTAGTTATATAATATAGTATATATAATATAATAGTTATATAATATAGAGTTCATTAAATAGTTATATAATATACCATAATCTATATATTGACATATTTCAAATAAGAAATAGTTTAATATTTTTTAAAAGTATGATATCGTTCAAAACAATTGCCTTTGTGAAGAACATTGCAAAATTGACAGACAAAACATGTTCTACTTCTTTTTTTTTGAACTGCACAAACTCTACATTGTCTTTGAGGTTTTACACTTCGACCGCTGGTCGCTATATTTATAAGTTTATGTTTTCCGAAATTCGACAGTCTTCCGGGATGGTCTAATCTGGGTGTTCTTCTTGTGGGTTCAGAATTAGGTAGATCGTCATCTTGTTCTGTACAATTAGTTTCACAATCTTCTATCCACGAAACTGCCACTTTGTGTAGGAAATTCTTGTACGTAATATTTTTTCCCTTGAGAACTGTGTATGCTTTAAATGTATTGAAAAGTGCACAGTTGATGAAAAACATTACAACTCGTTTAGTCTATTTTTTTGTTTTTTTAAAAATTGAATAATACGATAGATATTGGTCCGCGCAATCTACGCTCTTCATATATTTGTTATAATTTACGATTGAATTAGGCTTCTGTATGGGACCGTTTGATCTTTTACTTCTGTTTCTGGATTCCGTTAATTGTGTAGAATGTATAGTTGAGATCATATTGACGTTTCTTTTGTCATTATTCCATACTTCCAACAAAATTTGATGATTTCTGAGAAATGATGACAAAAAGCCGATTAATAGGCTAGCGGTCGGTAAAGTGTTAACAATGACGATATATACATCAAGAACTACATATTTGTAAACGTTACGTGTTATGAAATATCACTGTAATAACGTTATATTAATGATTTCATGCTTACTGGGCAGTTGCGGTGCAATATGGTGTCGTATAAACGTATGCACCAAGTAGATTTATTAAATGCAGAAACAAGCGGGTTACGTTCCCAAATTTACTGCCAATACTGAAAATCTACAGTTTATTTGACATGTACTACAGACTTTCAGTATTGATAGTGAATATCGAAACGTAACCGATGTTCATGCGTCGCGTCTGTCTGCATAATCCATCGCAGCTACAGTAATGCTGTTTCGAAATACGTCACAGTGCTGCCGGCAGTATCAAAATAATTTCGGAACAGCTGTGGCAGTGCACTATTCTGGCGTCAAGACGGTCACACTGCCGTAAAAGTAAAAAGGGAACACACCCTAAGTATATATCGGATAAACAAATTACTTTGTTGAAAAAAAAAGAAAACTAGACTCAGCTGTGCGATTGAATTCACTTCCCTAGATGTTTGCCAGGAGCTTCTGCTTTCGTTCTCCGTTCGCGCGAACGTGAACACCATCTGCGATCGTAACGTGGGCGGAGACACCATCAGTACTATACACGGCCTCAGGGCGATATCGATGGCCTGGGTGATACTCGGACACACGTGCATAGTCGTATTCAAGTACTCCGACAACATGGAGTACCGCAGGGTGGTGGAGAAGAGGTTCCTCTTCCAGACCATCACGAACGGCGCGTTCAGCGTCGACACGTTCTTCTTCATGGGCGGCTTGCTCGTGAGCTTCCTCTATTTCCGCACCAACGCCAAGGGTGACTTGAAGAGGCTCACGCAGGGCACGCGTGGCTTCGTCGCCGGCACCCTCAAGTTCATCGGACTCCTTCTCTACAGATTCAGCAGGCTCACCGCGCCGTACATGTTCGTACTGGGTGTGGTCGAGATCTCGATGAAATACTTCCACGCGAACTCTGTCTTCGAGCCCCCCACGCCGGATCATTACAATTGCCCCAACTATTGGTGGAGGAATCTGCTCTACATCAATACCTGGTTCCCCGTCGAGCAGATGGTAAATAGCGTCTCGTCGATCGCGCACCGCCCCTGCAAAAATCGAAATCTCACCTCCCACCGTGACCGAAAAGCCGACGAGCTGTAACCGCGCGTTTTCGACACGTTACAGTGTATGCTTTGGAGCTGGTACGTAGCGGACGACACGCAATTCTACATCGTCGGCGGTGTCATACTGGTACTTGCCACGAATCACTTCAAGATCGCGGCTTTCGCGCTCGTCAGCCTCTTAGTGAGCTCGTGGCTGACCACCGGCTATATCGCCTTGGTCAATAATCACATGCCGAGCTCGGACGACCCGCTGGCCCTCTTTGATAAGATCTACGACAAGCCGTGGACAAGATTGGGCCCCTACCTGATCGGGATGTCCGTCGGCTATTTCCTCTTCAAGACTGATTGCAAAGTGAGAATGTCTAAGGTACGCTCGAGCGACGAAAGTTCGTTGTTGCCCGACAGCTGGTCTTCTCTCGCATACGTATTAGAACAGCAACTCCCGATTTTTAGACTACCGTCGTCGTGGGATGGCTCCTATCCTCCGCGTGTCTCCTGAGTTTGCTCTATGGTCTGTATGAGACGGAACTCACACCAGCCACAGCCGCTGCTTACTCCTCATTAAGTCACAGCGCGTGGGCGTTGGGCTTGGCATGGATCGTGGTAGCGTGCAGTACCGGTTACGGAGGTGAGTGATTCCGTGATAGCGAGTTAAATCGAGTCGTTGGCGGGCTAACAATTGAATCGCTCCGATCGCTTCTCTCAGGATATGTAAATAGGATATTGTCGGAGCCGCTGTTATATCCATTCAGCAGAGTGACCTATTGCGCTTATTTGGTTCATCCGCTCGTCATACGTCTAACCGCTATGAATCTAGACTCTCCGTTTCATCTGGGAAAGGACTTAGTGGTGAGTTTGTGTGTGTGTGTGTGTGTGTGTGTATGTGTGTGTGTGGAAAAGATCACTTCAATGGAGCGATTAACAGCAAAGAGAAACAGATAGATAGATAGATAGAGAGAGAGAGAGAGAGAGAGAGAGAGATTGTCGCAAAAAACGCTTTATTCCTTCTCTTTTCAGTTGATAACATTCCTGGGACAATTGGTGCTGTCTTACGCATTGTCCTTCGTAATATCAATCTCTTTTGAAGCACCGGTAGTCAGTATGCTGAAGATTCTCTCACCGAAGAAGCGAAAACGTATACAATAGGGATTAGATTATACATTTGACGCACACCGAACGCTCGGTTATTTATACAACTTTATATTTACACATTATATATATATATATGTATAATATATATATAGATATATGTATAAGTTTTTTTTTTTGTAAAAACATGCGAACCAATAGAAAAACATCGCAAACCTGCTGTAATATTACATACATACTCGTATTAATAGCACGCACTCGTTTGATTTTTCTCAAATGTATACCACCAATACTGTGGACCTTTCTCCGCGTATAATTAGAATGTGAAATAAATTATTTCCGTTTTTATAGAATTGCCCTAATACAATCTTAACAGAGACCCATTGTTTCCTTTTTTCATAGAATTCCCTTAACACAATCTTAACAGAGACCCGAATTGTTAACGAATATTCCCGTTGCAGGAGGAAGAGAGAGCATAAATGCAAGAGCTTCGGTATGCGCTTACCGATAAATGCGGAAGAATCGTGGAAAAATGCGCACTTTTCCCACGCGGTGTGATCAACGGGTGATCTCTCTGATGAGAGATAAGGAATAAATATTAATCCGCCTCTTGCAGCAACTGTGTAGTTACATTATTATGTTACATGTCATATATAATCTTCAATATTATAGTAACATCGAGTAATATGTAATGCTGAGAGAAATTGCTCCTTCTCCCCTCTTACAAAGCACCTTCTATCGCGATCTCCCTGTTAATGTCGACAAAGTACGGACCCTCGTTAACGAACTGCTTGAATTTCTGCATCGTCTCCGCGTCGAATACATGTTGCTCCGCCTGGGACAGACGTTTCACAACCTCGAACTTGACGTCTATGCAGTCTTTGAACATCTCGACGCTTCTGTCCAACAGAAATTCCACCAGACCCGGATAAGTCGATATGTATTCTTGCCCCCATACTTGAGAGCCGACCACCGCCAGCACCTCCAAGCCGGCCTGTCTGATATCGGCGAACGGCTGTCTGCATATCGCCACGATCATCCCCAACGAATCGTCACACAGGGAATCGAACCATAGCTTCGTCAGGGAGAGTATCCTGTTGTCCTGCTCGGGCCTCTTGACGTCGAGTATGAGGGTGAGATTGTTCAGGCCGCGAATTCTCAAGGTGGTGGGCATTCTCTGTACCACCTCGCCGATCGTCTTGAGAGCGCCAATCATCGCATCGCCTAGCGCTTGCAGCGCGTACTTACCTTCCACGCTCACGGATACGAAGCCCAACGTGTCCAACGCGGGGCCCAGCAGTGTCTGATCGCCACCGTCGATCACTTCGAACAACGCGGAAATGATCACCGGATACTTGGAGAACAATTCGTTGGGCCAGTGTCGCGCGACGTTGCCGAAGAACTTCATCAGACCAGGGATCAGAAGATTCGAGAGGGAATTTTCATTGGCCTGTGCGATCTTTTGAACCAGCTTGCTCAGGACCTCCTGTTGCTCCAGGTAGCTGAGGCCCTCTTCGAATATGGCCAATTGCGTTAGTATTTCTAAGGCGTTCAGCTGAAGCAACACATCTTCGTCATCCAGCATACTGATCAAGCTGTTTAGGAAACCCGATTGAGCAGACACTTCCAAGGCTATCCTGGACGTCTTGGCTATATCCACAATAACCTCGTAGACGCGAAAGCTGATGGTGTCTTTCTGCAACAGTCTGGCGAACGTTCGCAGAAGCTCACCCTTGTAGAGAATATGCAGACCATTCGGATCTCCGCCGATCTTCTTCACTATGTTCATCGCACATTCGGCAACTGTCAAGTCGTTGTCGCCGATTCTGTTTATAATAGAAATCAGTAGATTGGTGTCTTCCAGTAACTGGTATATCCTTTGCGGGTGCGAGGCTGTACGCTGAAACTCGCGTAGCATGAGCAGTCTCACGTTAGCATTTGGATTGGTCAATAACGTGGATACTTCCACTAAATATCTCTGGTAAATCTCTCCGGGTTCCAGCACGCTGAATAGAATGGTCAGGACGTCGCATATCTGTTCTATAACTTCTCTGTAAGGAAAAGGAAAGTTGTTGTTGTTGAATGCTATTTGTAATCAATTTCAGCAACATTACATTTTCACGATTACAGTTTTCATAGCGCACACGTGTAGAAGTGTGAGAGAGTTGTGATTCTCTCTCTATATCACGCGCTTCGAAGTGATTTAACTGGTCAACGAGATTGGTTGGACGGGAATGATTAAGAGAAATCGCCGGAAATTCACCTGTCATCGTACCTGTCACTCGAGGTTAGCTGCGAATAAAGCGGCCCGTAATCCAAGCACCGGGCTACTTGCTCGGCGTCCCGATTACTCAAGCTACCGAATTTAATCTTGATGTCCGTCAGAACGTCCCTCTTCTCTTCGACGTTGTTCAATTCGCACAAACGCGAAATCTTCGCTTGATACCATTCCGTCATGGTCGGCTCATTGACAATTCGCTTTCACAGCAACCTCCGGCTCGCCAAGCTGTCGTTGCGCGTGAACAGGCTAGTTGATGCGATTCCCCGTCCCGATTACGGGAGACACGAGTAGGAGAAGGCACAAATCAGACGAAATCGACACACGACTCTCCGTATAAATCAGCGACGAAATTGACAATTGCGCGAGCGACGAGACGACTTCTCTCTCCTCGCTGCTACAAATTAAAATCCTAGATCTCCTGCTCTACCGTTAGATGTCGCAAAAAATAGGAATCATTTTTCCTTCAGTCACGACTCGAACCCCGCTGGTTATCATTTATCCTCGGCCGGAACGGTCGGTAACGTTCATCGATCTTTGCTCGATAATTCTCGAGCTCTCCACCGGGTCTACTTATAGTTGTGGAAATCAGCCAGGAATTATCAGTCTTTTATTAGCTCCTCGGCGTGTGATTGTTGTGTACGGTCTCAGTCATGTGACGCCGCTTCGATCGGTTACAATTGACTATACACGCCGGGTCAGCACGAGGGATTAGTTGATGTGTGAGATTAGAATGTATTAGAACATATCGAAGGTACCACGTTTGTTTACGTATAGTATCCGCCAAGAATCGCCAAGATCCGGATCCTTAATCGGAAGAGAGGACTCCTCCGAGACCAGCATATCCCGTCTAGTTCTAATCGTCGCTGGAGGACACTTGATGATGTATAAAACAATATGCAGGACACTCGTGCGAGAGGGTATAAGCGCAGGGTGGGAGCGTCCGATGACGAAAAGCGCACCGATGCAGCAGGATTTCTTGAAGACCGAGAAGGGACTGGACAAGCAGAAGACTGGCAAAGTGACTAACCTGAAGAAATACTGGTTCGGCAGATACATTGATTACATCAAGAATTACGAGAACACGCTGGAGCGGAAGTTTCCGCGCACGATGCAGGTGTACCGTGTGTTCAGCGTCGGTAGCAGGGACGTGTACGCGGATTTGAAAAGGTTCGTCACCGCGATAAAGAAGCAAGGGTTGAACAACGGCACGAACAGCTTGACGAGAGAGGAGCTACAGTTGATGCACACGATACCGAGAGACCTGAGGAAACTGTCGCCGTTGTTTCTGCTGTCGGCCATACCCTTTACGAATTACATTATTTTCCCCTTAGCCCTTTACTTCCCGCGCTACCTACTGACGTCACATTTCTGGACGCTGCAGCAGAAGCTCGACTTCATGCTGCACGATCACAAGAAGAGATTGAAGCACAACAGGCCGCTGTTCAGGTGCATGCAGGCGGAACTTAAGACCATCGGTGACCAAACGCTCAGGATAAAGTGGCGTGACACTATTGCTTGTTTGGGCAGCGGCACGCATCCAACGACCGACAATATCATAGCCTGCTCCGTACTCTTCTCTGGTCCGCCGTATTCTTTGGATACTCTGAAGAGGAAACATATGGTGAGCCGATAAGTTTTCTTCTCGTTATCTTTGAATATGTGAGTCTATATGCTTCTCTAAAGACGTTATAAAATATCTTCTAGAAAGAGTTGTTAGCGATACACGGGATGTGCTCTTGGAGACCCTTCAAAAGGAAAAGGCTATTGGAGAGAGGTTTGCTAATATTGCGAATGGATCGTGCTATAGTACGAGAGGGAGGAGTAAAGGCAATGTCTAACGATGCATTGCGATGGGTAGATACTTTTTGTCAGATATACAGAATACTGTGGATTTCTTTTTTCTTAACTTCCAAATAAATCTTGTTTCATATATAGTATCTATTGTATATACTAATATATTATTTCATTACTATAATGTACCTTTCAGGCATTATCTTTTAGAGGTGTGAATCCTGCAAATATGTCCATGGAAAGTATGAGAAGTTGGCTTGAACAATGGTTAACGGTATCAGCATCCACTAATCAGAAGAATATATCTTTGTTATTACATAGTCCAATTTTACTAGCTTATAATCATTCAACGAATTGGATTCTTATATATAATTAAGGAAAAGGGAAGAAAAGAAAGACTAATCTTCGGCGCAAAAGAGTTTTCATCAATTTCGTTGATCTTGGCACATCTTGCGTGTTCTAAGAAAATTGGTCAAAGAAACTGTCGACTGAGAAGTTAACGAAAAGATTCTTCCTTTTTGCAGAATGTCTAATATTTTATTTTAATAAATTTCACAAGTAGATGTTTTAGTATTTCTAGTCATTTTAACATTCACTTCTTTGTTCGATCTCTTCTATATTATTAATATTGTTTACTAAATCATTAATTCATTTAATTCATTTAAGTACATATAAGCGATGTGTATTTAAATTTTGCAAATAAATATCTTGTATTTATTTCTGATATAGCTTCGATAAATATATCGCAAGTAGAATTCTGTAACACGATTACAATAATTTCTAGTGAGAGTGTATGTGTGTAAAATTTGTCTCTCTATATATATTGTTATACTTTATATGAGAAATTTAACGTATACACATACATATATATAAAATATAAAGACATAACTCTTCGAGCTTTTTTAATTTTTATACCAACGAAAATTCTATAATTTTTGTTATTAATTCTGCAAAAGTAACACACAGAAGTGCTCCTTTGTTCAAAACATGGCACCAAAGAAATAAGGACATTTTTATTTATTTAAACATTTATTGAAATATATACGTCAAATACAACCATTTCTTATTTATATGTAAATATCGCATATTATGTACATACATATGTAACATTGTATAAAATATAATTTTAGCTTTTTGTACACGATACAATTGGATGATATAATACAATGTTCAAATTTATGTGCATATGCAAAAGAAGAAAGAAAATATATATTTTTTATATTTGAAGAAAATGTGTAAGGATTAATTATATATCTCATTGATCTGACCAATTGAGTTGTTTAACCAATGTTATTACCAGTCCAGTTGTCCAATGATCAAAGCAGATAAGAAATTAAATCATAGCTAAAAATTGCTTCCGACAAAATGAGACGTTCCATAAGCGACTAACGTATGTATTTAGTTGTACATTTCTAAATCTTGGAAGGAAAGATTGCTCTCATTCTAAGTTAATAAAAAAAGTCAGTGTAATTATACAATATACATAGAGATATACATAATGAGTATAAAAAATCTTAAAAATATCTTTTATGATAATATTAAATTCAGGTTATATGGATTGTATTTATATTCTACGTTATAAAGTGACGCGTGTTATTATTACTTCGTCCAATATTCTCGCAAATTATGCTATATAAAAAAGTAAGTCGAGTTAAAAATAAGTTGTAAGTAAATGCTTGTGTAATGACAGATAATTAGAAGAATTTTAACATAATATATCGCGTGTAATAATTATCACAGTTGATAGCCCTATTTTGTCGATAAAAAGGTATTTATCAGCACTGTGTAGACTAACAAATTATCTAATTTTTATGCATTCATATTTATATATCACACATTATATTTTCATTATTAAATTTTCGTATATATACATATTAATTGTGTAAACGTATATTATTAACTAAATATAGACCAACGGGCATAATTTTGCCTATTTAAATGTATCGTATGAAAAATTGTTGAGAATATGTAACAAGTATCTTTAAAATTTAAAACCTTCAAACATAATTACATATATTTTCGTTAAGATATCACGTTGATTTTAAATTTCTATAATTTTGAGTTCGAAATTTTAATTGTACATTCTAAAATTACATGAACATTAATTAATAGGGATATAAGCGGGTAACGAGCCAATGGGCGCTCGCTTTTTAGTATTACTCGTAACACTTGTTATCGATTTACTTTCGTCTTCTTTGACCAAGGACTTGTCCGTCTTATTAATTTGCATCTGACCCGTAAGGTCAGCAGTTGGAACGTTGGAACTTAAGGTAGCTTTCATAATTTGCAGTTTCTTTAAAATATTTTCTTTCTTCTTTTCAAGTGAATCAGTAGAATTATCAGTTGTTTCGTAATATCTTAATCTACATTCCAGATTTGAAGTCTCGGTATCGACTTTAGCGGATGTGGCTTGATACTTTTTTACAACGCGCACTTTTTTACTCAAATACTTAGTGTTTTCCTCGATACTAGATGAATGCGATTTATGAGGATAAACGCAGTACTTACCTTTACTACAGTTCCCCGTCTTATCGAATTCAGGACACAGATATTCGTGACGTCGCTGGCACTGTTTTTAAGAAATAAACCGATACTAATATAAATGTTCATTAAAAAATATAAAAAAACATACAACAGAGTATCAAATATATATAATTATGTTAAGAACAAAAAATAAATATTAAAAAATATATAAAATATTATACAGCGGGCATAATATAATTGATAAATAATATACCTGTAATTCAAAAGTAATACAAAAACGACAAAAAAAAGCAATTAGTGAAACGACAATCAAAACTCGGAAATACTTGACGGATTTCAACTGAAATAAAGTGAACGTGTTACCTCGTTTCCTTTGGCACAATATCCCTGTAAGAAGTCTATGCAGATTGAAGTATTTGCAGATACTTTAACGTGAAGGTATGGACAGGTGTCTCTTATACAGCAACCATCGAGGAAGTACTTGCATGTAGGCATTTTCTCAGGTCCGACGTCGTGCGATAGTGGGCACTTGTCTAAGAGACATTTTCCCTGTAAAAATCTAGAGATGGGGGAGGATTAAATTTCCTCTAAATTGTAAAGAACGTTTGTCATTTCTGTGTCCTATTATAAAATAATTAAAGTACGAATATATAGCAGTATATATATTGAAGTCACGTTCTTAATTATTAAGTACGAACATCACATACTCACTTTTTGCAAATTGACACTTGTTTTTTATCGTGTTGTTTGGGACATAATCCATTTGTGTAGTTTTGACAATATCCAAAGCGTTGAAAAATCAAACAAGGCTGATTATTCTTGCGCATTTTATTTCGTAGAATCTGTATACTTCTTTGCTTCACTTTGTTACTGACGGAAGAAAAATCAATTGGTGCGTTACATGGAATTTCTTACAATGTACCAGTCCAGGGACCAGTTATGTTGTCCAAAATCAAAATATAATATTTACCTAATATTATTTTTGTGAGTAGTCTTAGGGAATACATTGGAAGCACGTCGTATTTTACCAAGAGTATTGTTTGTTTCTGATGTACAATTCAAAGTTTCCTTATTATTCCGTGATTTTTTAGCAGTGATAAGTTTATCATTGTTTCCATTTGTCGATCGTTTTCCTAAATTTCCATATATTTATATATAATATAAATATGTACATATAAAAAAGAGTTACATTACTCTTATATAACAATATAAAGAATACATAATAATATGTTGAGAAAATAATAAAATTAAATCTGAGATAGTGCGATAATAGACATACGTTTCAACAGACAGCTTCTTCGGATTAATCTATTTTTGGAAGATCTATATACGATGCCACCGATAGTAACCAATCCTACTGTGTTGTTTCTTTAATACAAATATTTATTGATTGCGATTCATATAACGTATATAACAATTTTCTCACAAATCATACTTACACAACTTTTCTTTTAAGAGGGCTCTGACCTCCTTTAATCTTCGATGCATGTAATATGGTTCTATCTATTTTATATTTGGTTACTTTAGATTTAACAATACCTACTTTTGGTACATTGTACCTCATGTCTATACGTTGCAACTTATTATTCATTAATGATGGAACTTTCACGATTTTTTGTGTGATATTACCAGACTTTTTCTCTGTGAAGTTTATAGGTTCTCGTAACCTGCATTGGGATATTGTGGAAGTTCCTGACAAGTTATTTGTAGTACCAGTTACTCTAACAAGCTTTCTGTGTGACAGGAGCACAACGCTCGAGTCGCAAGCAATTTTCTTTGGAGTGACTCTTTTATCGCACGTACTTTTAACAGATATCTTTGAGCAAGTAGGTAACTCTCTTCTATGTACCTCATTAGAATTATGATCAGAAGAGGACAAATCCTTTAATAATGTTGGATTAACGTATATAGATCTTTTGATGTTTCTTTGTGTAATATTATTATCGACATTTTTTTTCATTGTACCCATTATATTATTTTGTAAGTTTTGATTTGAATTAGCAATATCATGGACCATTTTTGGATTAACATGTATCAAAGGCTTAGCACAAATCTTTGGATTGATATGCATCGCTGGGTTTTGCAGCTTAAAATTTGGGTTAATATAAACATTTGCAGTAAATGACTGGGGTTCTACATGTGTACTTTCAATTGACGTTTTAAGAAATATTTTAGAATTCGAAGAAGATCCAGGTACTAAATTTCCGTCAGTTTTGGGCTTGACATACTTGTAGTTTCTACTTGGACTATTCATCTCGGTAGTTTATAAAATTGGACGTGTCTCTTGTTAGTTTTGCCAGTCCTACAATTATACAAAACATTTAATCTAATAAAGTAGCTTAATCTGTTAACAGAAAAATATCTATATATTTTGGAGCAAATATGAATTTGAACTGAGAAAAAACTTTGACTAAAAAAGATTTGTAAATCGAGAAATTAAAGTTTCTGAAAATTTCATCTTAGTTTTAAAATTTTTGACTCTAGTCTATAAAACAGAGAGACCTTTTAAAACTGCTTCCTATATCAATAATCTTATAACAAATTAATCTTTCTCTCTCAGTATATATGTATTTATACATACACATATATATATATATATATATATATATAATATTTCTACAGTATAAACTGAGAAAACGTGTAGGAAATTATCATTAATGAGGAATCTCAAGTCTTAAGATTGAGATAGTCTTCCAAGTTTTTTATTTGCAAAGTCTTTCTTTTTAATTTAAGATACTACTTAGTTTGATTGTTTTTTACTAATAATAAATAGATGTATAGAGTTTAGACATGTTCCGAGCCACTAAAAAGAACAAAGAACATAACAGATGAATATGACCTTATAATAATTTCATAATAGTTAAGATTCTATCTACGAATCAAAAAGAAACACTTCTTCTACTAACATCGACTTCAGGGAAAGTAAATTTTACAATTATTAGTAGTCGGCTTTTCCAAAACCCAAATATACGTTAAAAACATTGAAAAACATTAAAAAGGTTAAACTAACCTGTTGGAACGTATGCTACAAGAGTACACTCGAACTTTTGCCTGACGTCATTATCAAATATGGTAGCAGTGTCGAGGCCAAGGGTTTCCTAAGAAATTGAAACTAATGGTCTGAATAATGAATTTATAATAAGTCAGCTCCTACGGCAGTAAGTTATTGTGATTACGATCTTCTCAAAAAAATATTCGTTAAACATCACACGATCAAAAATTTAATATATGTTTAGAAAAGAAAGCAGCTTTGCAACTGTTGTAAAATTCGTGAATCTGATTGGTGTATATTCCTAGATTCAATCAAAATTAAGAGCATACACCAATCAGATTTACGAATTTTATAATAGTTGCGAAGCTGCTTACTCTGCTGAACGCAACTCTCTCTCTCTGTCTCTTTCATACTCTCTCTCTCTCTCTCTCTCTCTCTCTCTCAATAGTGGTTCAGGCGGCCTAATGAAACATTCCTAAAGCCCGTATCAGACTATGGATTGAGGATTGCGATTGAATTGAATTCCGTATCAGACTATGGATTGGAGATTGTGATTGAATTAAATTTGGTCAATCAATGCAAAGTTAATTGAATTCAAATTTAGTGAAATTTAGTGAACTTTGCATTGATTGGTCAGTTTCAATTTAATTTCAATTTCTCATCCGTAGTCTAATACGGGCTTAATATCATTTTGGGATACACACCCATGCACTGATATTTTTCGCGTAACTTGTATCAGGTAACCAATCAGAAGCGTTCCGCGTTTTCTGTTACACGGAATTGAACTTAATTCCCATGAAACGTAAAATGGCAGCAGTGTATCACATATAACCAATGATATCTTTCTATTCTCTTAGAACGTTCCAACAGATATACTAAACATTACAGCTCATTAGTTACGCACAGGGCACAGATCAACTACATACAGTTGTGATATACAGCCGACAATAACTGTGGCAAAATGAATGTGTCTGAAGGATCCAACGGGTCAAGACGAAAGACGACGTTGTATCGATATCGTAAATCACAAGCGTAGTTGTGAAGAACAAAAAAAAACAAAAACAATCACAAGCATAGTGTGAAGAACAAAAAAACAAAAGGGCGGCAGACTGAAATAAAAATTAAATCCCCATCATTCTTTCTCAATTTTAACGTTCTTTGTCATCAGAATTGTTTAGTCCAAGTTCGCGAACGCGCAACTTGTGTTTTGCTTTTGGAAGTATTTTGTTGAGTATTTCCGTCAGCATCAGGTTTGTAGGCAAATGTTCCAGTGTTATAGATTGGTTCTCAATTACTTCCTAGAGGCAGTTGACATCGATGCGCTTCAAATTCATATTCTCGGTTTTTCCCTCGAGACTTCACATCACGTGTCGTTTTCTTTAATAATCCTCTGCTTGAATCCTCCAACTCCCGATTCCATCAAGTTCAGTTGACCTAGGGCAGGTTCTGATCTAGGGCATTAACTCAACTGGAATTGGCCAATCACATGGATCAGTTAGCTAATTGGACAATGCTATTAGACAATTCCTTTGAGTTAATCGGTCGATTAGATTAACCGAAATTAATGGATCGGGGGTAATGGCTTCTGTCTACAGGACGCGGCAACGCTTGCCGCGCGGCATAAATTCGTGCGGTAGCCAATCAACATGTCGTTTTTCGGTAAAAACTAGAAGTTTATTGGCTACCGCGCGAACTTCCGCCGCGCGGCAAGCATAGCCGCGTTCTGTGGGCAGAAACAATAAATGTCTTCGTCCGGTATTCATAGTCAAATTTTATATCAAAAAGTCTTAAATTTATCTTCAGATGCTGTATGGCTCATTTTATTGGCTGGATATATATATATATATATTTTTTTTCAATAACTGATTACTAGATACCGATGCTATATACCAAGGATGAGGATCCCGTTCAGGTACATCGGAAGGCGGCAAATTCGGAAATTCAATGCTCAGCGGAATTGATAGATATTCTTTACTATTAGTACTATTAATATTTTCACAGTTCTCACTCGCATAATCCGGAATCGCCGGGTCCTCATAGTTCACTTGAACAAGCCCTAAGAGGCCGAAATCAGCAGTCCGGTGCAAAAATCGCGCCAGGTAAGTAGGTTCGTCTGGCCTGATTTTTACAACTCGCGCGGCGTGTTTTAAATATAGGGAGTTCACCGGAAAGGATATCTTAAGTTAAAGGAAGGTTGTTCTATTCGATCATTCGATAAATTGATTACTTGCGACGTAACCTCGTTGCAGATTCATTGCGGGAACGTCCTTTCTTCCGCCGTGTCGATCGAGAGAATAAGTTGACTACAAGGGATTATTGGTGCTTTTTATTTGGTGAAACATGTCGACACAAACATCATTTTGTCTTTGTTCTGCATTCAATGAACGACAAAGATAGAATGATGCCATATAGAAACAATAAGTCTACTCTCAGTGGCTGTGTTTCAAAGCTCCACTCGACTGGTAAGATAACATTTAATTGAGCAATCAGGACAAAAAAACAACGATTTCTTTATATTGATTGATTAAATTCTACTCTACCCGTCGAAGTAGGGTTTCTGAACGCAGTTGTAATATTGACGAACGCAGCCTAACTTGTTAAATGGCGTTGGAAATAGGCCTTTAATCGAACTTCTAGAGCCATCTGTCGAAAGAAGAAAATGGTTATGCATATGCATATAAATTTCCAATCTGTAATCCAGCAGAATCAGATGTGATCGAGTTCGAGTACGCAGAGCATAACTACGTTTTGCTGTTGCATGTGTTGCGTCTGATGTAAATATGACATCGGTGGATTCGGGAGTGGAAACCGGGAACGAGTCGAACGATAGTTCGATCGTTCAACATGACGGCCAGAAAGAATCGCCCTTTACCCTCGCCGGTCCTGCCGCTGGTAAGATTAAAAGGACGGCTTTACACCCATCTCTGTTATATGCACGTGTGAGGAGCAGTATGAACGACGATTTTAAACCTCATCCAGATCATAAGCCTATCGGCATAGGTTACACACCGTACTGCTCATTCAACCCAGCATTGTGTTCTTTCATGGGAGATTATAACTTCGAACAGGAAAGTCGTGTTCCGTTGGTGACCCCGTTGGAAAACCGATTACCATCCGACTCAAAATTATATCGCTTAGATCGGGTAAATAACAATTAAGAGTATGTCAAGTAATTCTAAGAGTTCTGGGAAGAAAGAAACAACGTTGCCATTATTTTAGTTAATAAAAATAGATGCTCGATCCAAATTCAAAGAAGCGATTGAAAGTGAACCAAAATCTACAAGGTTATTGTGGAATGATAGTAAGTATTTTATGCAAGTGGAAAGTATGCCAAACATAGTACCTTGATGAAAATTGCGATTATATAAAGCATCAGGTTTGATAAAGTATATATTCTTTTATAAAAGTCTTAAACAGCAATATAGTAAAGTCATATATATTAACTCAGGAGCTGCTTGTCGCAAGTTGAGACAACGTAGGAATGATGACTTGACGTATGTGCGAAAGATACTGCATGAACGAAAGATGCGTGTGGCAGCTGCCACAAATAACATTGACCTAGTGAGGACACTCTTGAACAATGATGTGTCGCCCAACAACCATGACTCACAAGGTCGTACTCCACTTCATCATGCAGCTTGCAGGTAATATGGAGCATCCACACAATTATGGTAAATACAGTGGTGGCAGGCTTTTCTTTTCAACGTTTACATTAAAGATTTACATTTTCTGCAAATAGGGGTTATACAGAAATGGTACAGTTGTTATTGAAATATGGTGCAGACCCAAATCAACGTGACGGCGTAGGTAACACTCCGTTACATCTAGCCGCGGTTACCAGCAAGTTGACAGTAGTGACGCTGCTTTTGTCAGCCGGCACCGATGTCAGCTTGATAGACAGACACGGCTACAATCCGCTACATTTGGCGCAGGCAAAATTAAAGATGTTGTTGAATTGCCACCACAAAAATCTGACGGAGGTCAAGAAGGAAATGCGCAGTATAGTCCAAATGCTGATGGCATACTTTCTCAAGCATAAAAATTTCAGCGATATGGAATCACTGAGCGACTTCTGCTCGCGTCTCTCTTTATCCAACACTACGGATCAGGTGCAGGATGATGTGAAAGATTTATTGGCCAACATAGAAACTCTTCATATAACGAGTTAATTGTCTTTGGATATAGCATATTCGCTGCTATAATATACTATACACACGATTCGTAGATGTTGTGGCGTCCTAAAGTTTTTCCATGAGAACATGCAGCTATTTCCGAAAAATTATACGCGCACGTTTATCACGTGTATGTGTGTGTGTTGATGTATGCGCTTCTACGTGTCTTGCGTATTGTAACTCTTTCGGAAAAATTAATCGGTAATTGGTTGATAATTAGTTGTTACTCTGCAATGAACAATTCGTCTTATTACTTATTGTAACCAAGAATCTTGTTGGGAGTCGTTCAAATCGTCGGAAATCTAGTTGGTCGCAACAAAGAGTTGTTTTTCAAATTGATCAATACAACATATATCGGTTATATATAAAGGTTATATATACAAATGTATCGATATGAATGGAAGAAACAAAATTCTAATACGAAAATGTCGGACTATCGAAATATTGGGATACATATATTATATAAAATCAGTTTCCCGCTTATTTTTAGTATTCGTACTTTCCGATCGTATACAAAAGTGTAAATAGTCTTTATAATAATTTTCTATGCGCTGTACATAAGTCCATCCTTCGCCGATTCACAATCCCATTCTAGTAAGAGATCATATTGTACTTCGAAGGAAATGTAAGAAATAAAACGATGTTGCGAATAAAACACTACGCTGGGATCCGTGGACTATACTTTCACTCATGTGAAACCACCTATGAATTCTGGCGCTTCGGTCGGACCTTTTGGATTTATTTTCGTGATGAAAAAAGAATAAATCACGCGCGGCAATTCGGGCCTGGTCTTTCAGCGAACGACGGTGCTGCTGCTGATGAGCAATGCGCGTAGCTGATTATAGCATGCATTCAAACTTCAGAAAGGCGAGTTACAAGGGAAGCGCGTCGTGGGTGGTCCGGCGCGAGGGAGAGCGACGTGTGTGTGGTCCGGCTGGTTTTGTATGCTGCGAGTGCGACTGTCGCCGGCAACCGTAGAAGATGCGAGAACCTCCGTCCGAGCAAGACGCAGACCTTGCCTCGTGGTTGAACGAGATTGTCTGCGAGAACAACGACGTCAACTCACGAACCCACGAAAGTAAGCGTCTTGTCGCGTCTCATTGTTTATATTACGCTCCACGTGGTCTCTTTGTTTTGGGATACTCGTTATCTCTCAATTGAAACCTGAAACATATCTACGTGAATCTACGAAGAAAAAAATAGGACAACTCCCACACTTTTTCTCGAAAAGACGGTGCTCACCATTTTCATTTAAGTTACTTTTGCCACTGACTTTTAGATAAAAAGAATTTGTTTTTCCCTCCTTCTACTCGCAGATGACACTTGTACTGGTTCTCTGCTGCTTGCTACTTCACAGGACAGTTTCGGAACTGGAGCACAGGTTTATGATCAATAATGAAGCTGAGAATAATACGGGAAAGGATATGGAACTGGGACCTCGACACAGAATCAAGGATTCTAGTTATTTACTGGACAGGTATCCCATAGACATGTCATCGGGTGATATGAATTGTCGCAGACCTGCCAAATGTATTTCTCTGCACAAAAACACTTGTATGGGTATGAAACTACCATATACCCATACTACGTTGGATCTGATACCGGAACATATAACTCAGAATATTATAGAGGTAGGCAAGATTATTATTTATATTTTCTTTATATTTTAATAACATTTTCCAGTCTTTTTCTCCAATAAAACATGACATGACTCCTAAGAATACTAATATATTCAAGTTGCAAACCATGCATTGTGAGATATTCCGAAGAATAAGCCCAGTCTTCCTTTGCATCTGCTTACCTGGATATACATGCTTAACTTACTACAATGAAATGGGGAATTTAAGCTGTGTGGATAATATTTAGAGGATATTTTTGTTATATCGAGCATAATTAAGCAAGTCTGTCTAAATTATTAACATGCTTCTTAACAATATACTGTTGCTTTATTGTCCATTATATGAAATTTTATATTGTATAACTTTTATAATTGTCAAGATTGATGAGTACTCTTCTGCTTGTAATTTTCAGGAAAGATTACATTTGTTACAAGCCCTGAGACATGTGCCAAAGTGTTGGGCAGTTGTCCAACCATTCTTGTGCTCCATATTCATGCCGAAATGCATGAACAACATGGTTGAATTGCCATCTCACGAGATGTGTAAGATGGTGTTGGGGCCATGCAGGATGCTGCTCAATCACACGATATGGCCAAGCTTTGCGAAATGTGACGACACTGAACTGTTTCGACGCTCGTGCAAGAACGACATCAGAGAATTGAAATTTAACATATCAGGCAAGTGCTTGAAACCCCTCGTGCCCACCGATAATTCCCTGTCGATCTTCGACGGAGTGGAGGGTTGTGGTACACAATGTTACGACCCAATGTACACACCTGACGAACACAAGCAGATACACTCATTTATCGCATGGGCCGCGGGCATCTGCTGTGCTTTCAATTTATTTACCATAGTAAGTGCCATTAAAAGCTGCATATGGCTATTCTATATATTTCCAATTGCGTAATCGTTTGCGATCGCATATATTCCAGATAACATTTCTGATAGATTGGAGAAGCGCAAACAAGTATCCAGCCTTGGTGATATTCTATATAAACTGCTGCTTCATGGTGTCCTGCATCGGCTGGTTGGCTCAATTTACCTTCGGCAAGGACGTGATCGTATGCCGCAAGGACGGTACGCTGAGAATAAGCGAACCAAGGTACGGCTTGACAATCGCTGTGTTTTACCCGCCTATCCCAGTATTGACGTGATCTCGTAAAATGTCTATTTTCAGCGGGGACACTCAGTATTGCACCATAACCTTCATTCTCGTGTATTATTCTCTAATAGCAGCTGTGGTGTGGTTCGTCATATTGACGTACGCCTGGCACATGAGTTTCCAAGCGCTCGGCAAAATAAAAGACCGTATAGACAAAAAAGGCGCTTATTTTCATCTGATCGCCTGGTGCTTGCCAACCGTCTTAACGGTTTCAATCATGACCTCAGGCCAGATTGATGGTAACAGCGTGACCGGAATATGCTTCGTGGGTTACGTTAACCATACAGCGAGAGTGTCGTTTGTGCTGGTACCGGTATTGGTCGGTTTACTAGTGGGAGGCTATTTTCTATCCAGAGGTAGATATTACTCTCTATCGTGTGTGTCTCTTTCAGTGTACGGTATATAATCGCAATGATATAAATTTTCCATTTTCTCCAATACTTTCTGAATCAATGTGAATCGTGAGTATTTATCTGCGATATTGTACAGAATGAAAATATAATTGACTGCTTTCAGAAATTTGCTAACTCTACTATCTCGATTTTGATGGAATGTTGAAAGTGTTCGATTATTTTTAAGTTACTCTGACATATGAAAAGGTCATTCTCAATCTATGTTGTCGCGTACGTTTCAGGACTCTTCACGCTGATTAGCTTAAAAATAAGCAGTCGAGAAGTCATGTCCGAGAGGGCAAGCGCGAAGATACGGGAAACCATCATTCGGATGGGGCTGTTCTTCATATTTACTTTGGCGGCGGTCGGTGTGATGTTTTATTGTCACATATATGAATTTATGCATTCTTGGCAGTGGCGGCAAAGTTTCAGAAATTATATGATGTAAGAACCGTGGTATCAATACCCAGATATACGGGACATATGTAAGATACATTTTTGCACAACTTATAAATGTCGCATTGCTCACATTTAACAGATGCGCGATAACAACCAAGTATTCAGACGAATCCGAGTGCAAAATGGAGAAAAGGCCTAGCGCGGGAAAGATGCAGCTGCATCTGCTAGCGCCGTTTTTCGCCGGTATACTTATGTCTTCGTGGGTTTGGACTAGTTCGACAGTCGACACGTGGTCCAGATTCCTAAAGAGGTAAATCTCGTCAAACGTTGGACACTCTCGTAACGTCGTGTCTAATCGCGAGTCGTCTCTATCAACGAGACTCTGAATAGGACACGTCTTCTTTGTGTATGCAGAACCTTCAACTGCGAGACTGAAGAGCCAATAAGACTGAAGAAGCACAAAGTCATCGCGCAGGCCTTCGCGAAACGAAAGACGTTCAACAACGCCGGACGGCTGTCCATAAGTTTCCACAACACACACGAGGATCCGGTCGGGCTAAATTTCGAACTCAACTCTGTAGCTTCGCAAGATTTCAGCTCCACTTGGGCAGCCGCTCTGCCTAAGCTGGTCACTCGAAGAGGCGCATTGGTCGGCAGCACTACCGGATCGGTGTCTAGCAATAGACGAAATTCGGTGGACTCTGAGATCAGTTATAGCTTCCGATGTGTCTCCATGGAGTCTAGACGCGACTCTTTAGATTCACAAATATCCGTGCAGATTGCGCAAGTGAAGACCACGCGAAAAGTCGCCGGTCGCCCTAATGGCCGCCGCGGTAAGAATAGAAGAGACTTTGGAAAATCTGGTAAATCCAGATCGGAGAAGAAGATTGATCCGCACTCGAGGAGAGACAGCACTACCTCTCAAGACAGCCAACTGGTGACAACCGGTGGGCATGTGCCGATTCAAATGCCCAATATGGGCAGAAGACTAGGGAACGCCGGGCTGGACGAGCGAGCACTGATTGTCGAGGATCGTGGCTCGAAGATCATCGACATGAAGAATGCGGGTATGCTGTTGCCGTTCTTGTTCCCGAGTAGCGACGAGAATTTGAGCAACGATGAGAAGAGACATCAGGACGCGGTAGATATCGACATAGAGGTTGACAATGCGGAGAGGGACGAGCAGGATAGCGACGGCGAGGACAGTCAGCCGGAGGAGGAAGTGAAGATGTTGAATCCGGAGGATGTGCACGGACGTAACAAAAGCAAGAGCAACAGTAAGAACTGCAAGACCTACAATTCCGAGAGCGATCGGAGGAACTGGGAGAGTCACAGGAGCAAGTACGTCCTGCAGGACGAGACGATCTTGAAACACTTGCTTCAGGAAAGCAGCGATATCAAGATGAAGAACGAGACCGAGAAGAAAGAGATGTACAGGAAAGCCGCTGCGGGCGACTTGGCATCTAGTCTCACCTCGTGCTGTCCAGAGCTCACCAGACTGATGGCACAAGGCGACGGGCAAATGGGCAATGCTAGAGAAATAGCGACGCAGACCTCGCTGCCGCTCGAAATACTGGAGATGGAGGAATTGAAGCAAAGCATCGATGAGATCATCAACAGTAGACATTGCAGCTCCAAGGGGACTCAAATCTCGCCTCAGTTGAAGAAGAGCAAAAACCTCGTGACGTAAAATTTGAGTCTATTCGTTCTTTCTTTTTCTCTTTCCCTTAAGTGTATATTGGAAAATGTGCATATAGTGAGATAGGTGCTAGATGATATACTGTAGGTTTGTTAATTGAAGTAATGACAATTGCGGCTAAACACAGACGAATATATTTTGTTTTTATTTGTTTTTATCGTAATGCGGCGCTTACTTACAACAGTGTCGAAGGACATCCGACGTCCTATTTGACTGCGCGCCGACGCTAACACATACATGACGTATCTGTGTAGCCAAGCGAAGCTCTATAAAATTCAGGCGGCTTTGGAGAGTGAAGTGAGTCGAGTCGATATTTAAGGCGCGAAAAAATGAGCTTCCTTCACACGGTTCGGTTCAGTCAGCAACAGTGATCGCCCTTCCGCACGAAGAGACTCTGTCGCTGCCACTCTTTACGTAACTAGTAGTTAATAGAGGGACGTCCCTCGCCAGTGTATCACTGCACTGAACTACAATCGCTGTAGAATGTTCTGAATTAAAAAGTGAGATTATGTGATGACGATTTTTAGTGGCTATCACTTGATTCGTATACATAGGGATGCGGTAACGAAATTCTAATATATCGAGGGGCACCAGTTGTAACAATGCGTGTCTATATTTTTTGTACATTTTTATTATCGCTTAAAATATAGTAGTCAGAAATCAGTACGATATCTCATTGGCAACTCGCTTCGAGTGCTAAATAATACGACGCGACCACGGTAATATAGTTTTAAATATATCGTGCTGCAAATATTATCTTTCCGTCGAGAAATCAAAACTATGGTATTCCGTAGATATCGTTGAACGTTCGTAATGCCCGTATCAGATTACGGATTAGGATTAAGATTTGACTGAAATTTAACCAAGCAGAGCACGACTCACCAAACTTGAGTTTAATAAACTTTGTTCTGATTGGTTAAATTTCAATTCAATTTCAATCCTAATCCGTAGTCCGATATGGGCTTAAGAGTGTATCGAACACTCAATGGCACCTTGTTTATACATGTATTTTTTTAACGGCTGAATAAAATACGTTTTTTTTATAATTCTCTTAAGAATTATGTTATTAATTTAGTCTCTAATAAATTAATGGCTAATCCGGTAGACGGAAATTATCTGTTTAAATATACATACGTACTGCTTAAAGCCCATATCAGACTATGGGAGATTGGGATTGCGGATTAGGGATTGAAGATTATCCACACACATCAATTCAGATCGCGATCACATTACGATCTGGATTGCAATTGAGTTATTATATAAATGTAAAAGTGACATATTAAAGAAAAAAATTAATCGAAATATAATTAAAAAATATGAATATTCTTCTCTTGCTATTAATAATAGCGGAAAAGAAAGAGAAATGCAGAAAGAACCGTATAGACGAGTCCTTATTTCTTAAAAACAAAACAAAGAAGCATATCACAATTTAACTGTATACAGTTGCGACAGTGCTATGAAATTGATTCGATTTTCTTCTGCGCATGCATTGACTGTACACTCGGTCACAGGATAGTTACAACAGTTTTTTTTACATGTTTCAGAACGCAAAAAATACGACGAAGCGAACCTATGATTTACGAACATGCGCAGTAGATAGTCAGATAGTAGATATTAATATATCAAAATTATATATATATGTAATATTGATATTTACATATTTAATTTTAGCAGCTGGCTGACCATATATTGCGCATATCCGTGAATTATAGGTTCGCTTCGTCATATTTTGTGAATGTTCTGAAGTTTGTAAGAAATAAACTGTTGCAACCGTTCTGTGACTGAATGTACAACTAAGAATATGGCGGACTGTCATAACGATATCGGCGAGTGAGACAGTACAGCTGAGTGTATAACACATTTAAACATACTTATACTATAATCGTAACATAAAATGAATGCAAGAGGTAGTATCTCCTGCACGTTTGTTACAAGAATATTTGTGTGCGAAGAGAAAATGAAATAAATTCCTTCCGATTTCCGAAGGATAATGAAAGGTATGTTAAAGTTACGTGCAAAGTTATCACATGCACACAATGATATTAATATTTATAGACCTTGAGAGTTTGTAAATAAGTAATTCTAATTATTGTGATATTCAGTATATTCTTTACATGTAATATATGAAACTCTCAAGTCCTTGAATAATATGAATAGTAAGTAATATTGCATCTCACTACGTCTCTTGAGGTCATTCAAATTCAGTGCCTGAACGAACCAACACATGGCTGATAGTCACGTGATCGATGACCACTGACATCAAAGAAGCCGACAGCTACTATCGTAACTTTATATAGTTAAACTGTGATTAAACTGTGGCTTGGTTGCTCTCCGGTCTCTCTCTGGTTACAGAAGATCTGTTTTTTTCGAAACACTTTCTGCACTAGTGCACACAAGTGCAAGGAGTTTACACTAAAGCATTCTTTTTATCGAGAATGACATCATCATGACGTCATCCACGCTGTCTTTTTTCGCAATGCAACAGCATGTAGTGCAAGCAGTTCAGTGAACTGTTGCACTGAGTTAGGAGGTAGTGTGGTCAGGGCAATGCATGAAAGTGTAGCTTGGAAGTACAGGTAAGCGTAACGGAAATTTATACGAAAAATCTCTATCAGGTATATAGCTTGCATTATATTGAAATGTGTGAAACATCTTGTTTTTTTTCATTTTCAAAAATTGTTAATATTATACCATCACACACACATACACAGCAGAAATGCCCAAACATACCACAAGAATGAATTTAAGATGTTAAGATATCTTTATGATTTTATATTTATATTTATTTTATATTTAGTCATTTATTTAAATTTATGATCGGTAGGGTATATAATATTATAAATTATTAATAAATTTGTTATATTTAGTTGTATATTACATTCATCGTTTACATCTACAATGGGTTGTAATAGTGGTTGTATTACAACAAAATCTTCGTCAGAAGAATCAAATAATGCCATGTGATGCGCCATGTTGTTTACTACACTCTGGCGTTTCAGCGGTGCAGCGAAAACGAACAGACTTCTTCATTGCACTTTTGCACTGAACTGAACTATTCTGTACTAGTCTTTCCCAATGCGGTTCAGTTCAGTTCAGTGCAGTTCTAGTGCAATCTCGCTACTGGTCTTTCGACGAGCGACAGTGCTGCTGCTGGTGAGCAATGCGTGTAGCTGATTATAGCGTGCATTCAAACTTCAGACGGGCGAGTTATAAAGGAAGCGCATCGTGGGTGGTCCAGCGCGAGGGAGCACGATGCGTGTGTGGTCCGGCTGGTTTTGTACGCTGCGACTGTCGCCGGCAACCGTAGAAGATGCGAGTAGCTCCGTCCGAGCAAGACACAAACCTTGCCTCGTGGTTGAACGAGATTGTCTGCGAGAACAATGACGTCAACTCACGAGCCCACGAAAGTAAGTTTCGTCGCGTCTCATTGTTTATATTACGCTCCACGTGATCTCTTTGTTTTGGAATAATGTTTTGTTATCTCTCAATTGACGTTTGTGAAACGTCTGAAACCTGTGAAACGATCTACGTGAATTTACAAAAACAAGGAAACATATAACATAAGAGAACATATTTCACTCCTTTTCCGAAAAAAACATATGTTCATATAACGTTTGTTTAAATTATTTGTGTCATTAACTTCCAAATAAAAAGAATTTGTTCTGCTCTTTTTCTGCTCATAGATGATATTTGTACTGGTTCTCTGCTGCTTGCTGCTTCATAGGACATCTTTAGAACTGGAGCACAAGTTTATAATCAACAATGAAGCTGAAAATAATACAGGAAAGTATATGGACTTGGGGCCTCGACAAAGAATCAAGGATTCCAATTATTTGCTGGACAGGTATCCCATAGATATGTCATCGGGTGATATGAATTGTCGCAGACCTGCTAAATGTATTCCTCTGCAAAAAAGCATTTGTATGGGAATGAAATTACCATATACCTATACTACATTGGATCTGATACCTGAACATGTAACTCAAAGCATTATAGAGGTAAGTAGGATTATTATTTATATTTTCTTCATATTTTAATGACATTTTCCAGTCTTTTTCTCCAATAAAACATGGCATGACTCCTAAGAATACTAATACATCCAAGTTGCAAACCATGCATTATGAGGTATTCCGAAGAATAAGCCGAATCTTCCTTTGCATCTGCTTACCTGGATATACATGCTTAACTTACTACAATGAAATGGGGAATTTAAGCTGTGTGGATAATATTTAGAGGATATTTTTGTTATATCAAGCATAATTAAGCAAGTCTGTCTAAATTATTAACATGTTGCTTAACAATATACTGTTGCTTTGTTGTCCATTATATGAAATTTTATATTGTATAACTTTTACAGTTGCCAAGATTGATGACTACTCTCCTGCTTGTAATTTTCAGGAAAGATTACATTTGTTACAAGCCCTGAGACATGTGCCAAAGTGTTGGGCGGTTGTCCAACCATTCTTGTGCTCCATATTCATGCCGAAATGCATGAACAACATGGTTGAATTGCCATCTCACGAAATGTGTAAGACAGTGTTGGGGCCATGCAGGATGCTGCTCAATCACACGATATGGCCAAGCTTTGCGAAATGTGACGACACTGAACTGTTTCGACGCTCGTGCAAGAACGACATCAGAGAATTGAAATTTAACATATCAGGCAAGTGCTTGAAACCCCTCGTGCCCACCGATAATTCCCTGTCGATCTTCGACGGAGTGGAGGGTTGTGGTACACAATGTTACGACCCAATGTACACACCTGACGAACACAAGCAGATACACTCATTTATCGCATGGGCCGCGGGCATCTGCTGTGCTTTCAATTTATTTACCATAGTAAGTGCCATTAAAAGCTGCACATGGCTATTCTATATATTTCCAATTGCGTAATCGTTTGCGATCGCATATATTCCAGATAACATTTCTGATAGATTGGAGAAGCGCAAACAAGTATCCAGCCTTGGTGATATTCTATATAAACTGCTGCTTCATGGTGTCCTGCATCGGCTGGTTGGCTCAATTTACCTTCGGCAAGGACGTGATCGTATGCCGCAAGGACGGTACGCTGAGAATAAGCGAACCAAGGTACAGCTTGACAATCGCTGTGTTTTACCCGCCTATCCCAGTATTGACGTGATCTCGTAAAATGTCTATTTTCAGCGGGGACACTCAGTATTGCACCATAACCTTCATTCTCGTGTATTATTCTCTAATAGCAGCTGTGGTGTGGTTCGTCATATTGACGTATGCCTGGCACATGAGTTTTCAAGCGCTCGGCAAAATAAAAGACCGTATAGATAAAAAAGGCGCCTATTTTCATCTGATCGCTTGGTGTTTGCCGATCGTCTTAACGGTTTCGATCATGACATCAAGTCAGATTGATGGTAACAGCGTGACCGGAATATGCTTCGTAGGTTACGCTAACTATATAGCGAGAATCTCGTTTGTGCTTGTACCGGTATTCGTCGGTTTACTAGTAGGAGGCTATTTTCTATCTAGAGGTAGGTATTACTCTTCATCGTATGTATTTATGGCGTTACTCTCAGTATACGATATATGATCGCAATAATATGAAACTTTCATTTTTCCCAATGCTTTCTGAATCAATCGTGAATCGTGAGTATCAACCTATGATATTGAACAAGATAAATATAATTGAACATTTAAACAAAATTTGCTTTTTCGATTGTGAACAAATTTTGGAAGTATTTGAAAGTAGTTTCAAATTACTCTATGTGACATATCAAATGGTCACTTTCAATCCACATTGTCGCGTTCATTTTAGGGCTCTTCACGCTGATTAGGTTAAAAATAAGCAGTCGAGAAATCATGTCTGAAAGAGCAAGCGCGAAGATACGGGAAACCATCATTCGAATGGGACTGTTCTTCATATTTACTTTGGCAGCGGTCGGTGTGACGTTTTATTGTCACATATACGAGTATATGCATTCTTGGCAGTGGCGGCAAAGTTTCAGAAATTACATGGTGTAAGAACCATGGTATCAATACTCAGATATATAGGACGTATGTGTGGTGCATTTTTGCACAACTTGTAAATGTTGCATTCCTCTCATTTAACAGATGCGCGATAACAACCAAGTATTCAGACGAATCCGAGTGTAAAATGGACACAAGGCCTAGTGCGGGAAAGATGCAGTTGCATCTGCTCGCGCCGTTTTTCGCCGGTATACTTATGTCTTCGTGGGTTTGGACTAGTTCGACGGTCGATACGTGGTCCAGATTCCTGAAGAGGTAAATCTCGTCAAACGTTGGACACTCTCGTAACGTCGTGTCTATTCGCGAGTCGTCTTTATCAACGAGACTCTGAATAGGACGCGTCTTTTTTGTGTATGCAGGACCTTCAACTGCGAGATTGAAGAGCCAATAAGACTGAAGAAGCACAAAGTCATCGCGCAGGCCTTCGCGAAACGAAAGACGTTCAACAACGCCGGACGGCTGTCCATAAGTTTCCACAACACACACGAGGATCCGGTCGGGCTAAATTTCGAACTCAACTCTGTAGCTTCGCAAGATTTCAGCTCCACTTGGGCAGCCGCTCTGCCTAAGCTGGTCACGCGAAGAGGCGCATTGGTCGGCAGCACTACTGGATCTGTGTCTAGCAATAGACGAAATTCGGTGGACTCTGAGATCAGTTATAGCTTCCGATGCGTCTCTATGGAGTCTAGACGCGACTCTTTGGATTCACAAATATCCGTGCAGATTGCGCAAGTAAAGACCACGCGAAAGGTCGCCGGCCGGCCGAATGGCCGCCGTGGTAAAAATAGAAGAGACTTTAGGAAATCCGGAAAATCTAGATCAGAGAAGAAGGTCGATCCGCACTCGAAGAGAGACAGCACTATTTCTCAAGACAGCCAACAGGTGACAACCGGTGGACATGTGCCGATTCAGTTGCCCAATATGGGTAGGCGACTGGGAAACGCCGGATTGGACGAGCGAGCCCTGATCATCGATGATCGTGGTCCGAAGGTCATCGACACAAAGAATGCGGGTATGATGTTGCCCTTCTTGTTCCCCAGCAGCGACGAGAATTTAAGCAGCGACGAGAAGGGACATCAGGACGCTGTAGGCATCGACATAGAGGTCGACAATGTGGAGGGGGAGCAGGACAGCGATGGCGAGGACAGTCCACCGAAGGAAGAGGTTAAGATGTTGAATCCAGAGGATGTGCACGAACGTAGCAAAAGCAAGAGCGGCAGCAAGAACTGCAAGACCTATAGTCACGAGAGCGATCGGAGAAACCGGGAGAGTCACAGGAGCAATTACGTTCTGCAGGATGAGGTGATCTTGAAACACCTGCTTCAGGAAAGCAGTGATATCAAAATGAAGAACAAAACCGAGAAGAAAGATATGTATAGGAAGGCCGCAGTGGGCGACTTGGCGTCTAGTCTCACCTCGTGCTGCCCGGAGCTCACCAGATTGATGGTACAAGGCGACGCGCAAATTGGTAACGCTAGAGAAATAGCAACGCAGACTTCGCTGCCGCTCGAAATACTGGAAATGGAGGAATTGAAGCAGAGCATCGATGAGATCATCAACAGTAGACATTGCAGCTGCAAGGGGACTCAGATCTCGCCGTTGTTAAAGAAAAGCAAAAATGTCGTGACATAAAGACTGAATCTGTTTCTTCTTATTTCTCTCTCTCTCTTAAGTGTATATTGAGAAATGTGCATATAATTAGGTAGATGCTATATAATTGTTTATTGAACTAATGACGTTTCGCCCAGCTAAGCATAGACAAGCTATACCTTATTTTTACTCGTTTTCGTCGCGATGTGCTTACGTACAATCGCTGTAGGATGTTCTGAACTAAAAAGTGAGATCATGTGATAATGATTTTTACTGGCTGTTGTTCGATTCGTATACATAGGATGCGGTGACGAAACTCCAATATATCGAAGAGTACCAGCTATAATAATGCCTGTCGGTATTTTCTGTACATTTTTATTATCGTTAAAATACTAGTCAAATCTCAACACGATATCTCATTTGTTGACATCTCGCTTTGAGCGCTAAGTAACACGACGCGTCTACGGTAATGTGGTTCTAAATGTACCCAGCTGCAAGTATTATTCTTTCGCCGAGAAATCGAAACTACGGTGTTCCGTGCTATCTTTGGAACGTTCGTTAGAATATCGTATCGAACACCTAATGTCAGTAAGATATCTTGTTTATACATACATTTTTTTAACAGCTGAATAAAACTCGTTTTTCATCATTCTCTCAAGTATTATATCATTAATCTAGTTTCTAATAAATTAATGGCTAATCCGGTAGACGAAAATTATCTGTTTACTACGTACTGCTTAACGCAATATGGTGATAATCACGCTCGCAGGATGCAAAACATCGAACGATCCTCGTTGATAATGGTAATGATTAATAGACGTTATTCGTCTTATAACTGTCACATTCCACAATTGGGAAAAATTTCTAGAGATTACATTTTGCTAGATATTTGTGACAAATGTCTCTACTAAAGGACACTATTCGTTAAGCTACGTTTTTTTTTATACTCCTTGTACTTTATATATATATATATATATATATATATATATATATATATTTCATAACTATTATCAATATATGTCTATATATAATATATGAATACCACATTGTACGTATCGTATCTTTTCCCATATTTGGTTCTACCGCTCTCTCGATATTTTAATTTTGTGCAGCATAAAACTCTGCTGTACGATGATATGTAATACCGAAATGTGTATTACTTTTACGAAAGTAGCGCTGAAACTAGTCGCCGAAGAAAGTCCAGGCTGAAATCCGGCTCAGTGTTTAATTTAACTTCAATCTCATATGACATCTCCACGTGAGAGATGCATACAGCGCGGACAATGCATTCCTTCAATTGTTGATGAAGTATGCTCTGATTGGAAAGGATTCCTTGGCACAAAAGAATATCGAGGAGAGAGATCTGTCCGTTGAACTTATTCGATAAAACCTATAGGAGTATCGACGGCAATGAATATTAATCCTTAGGCCTCTTACATATCACTGAATGGAGATCGCCGAATTGAGAGGTTAGGCCACTTTGGACACTTCCAAAAATCGAGATTTCTTTTGGTGTTTAAATTAATGTTTATAGTCTTAAAAATAATATACAAGTGGTCTGATTTGAAAATTTGCAGTATTTTGCGAGTCACAGCTTCTCGATTAATGTCGCGTATGAATAGCGAAATGAATATGTTCGAACGCCTGGATGATCAAGACATAGAAATTTATGAAGATTTAAGCAGAAATGATTTATTTGAATGTTATTTAGGTAGATATACCCTAAAATAATAATATATACCTATAAAATAATAAGGAAAGCTTCAATTCTATAATTTGGAAATGTGCCCTCAAAACAACGTTCAGAGTCGCTTAGAAGTAGTTGAAGTTGCGACACAAATCGCTATGAGTATTTTTAATGAAGGCAATAACAGCATATTATTATTAATACACACATTGTACCAACTATCGAACCAAATGCGCAAAGTGTATGATAAAAAGAAGACGAAATCTGTTTGCGTCTTGCCGAGGAATGACGACGGAGCGCGCCAAAAGAAGTTAACACAGACAGCAATAATTGGCTTCCAAATGATTCGATAACAGAAGAAGAAAATCCATTGTATGTGGTGCAGGCATTGCCGAATAAAAGCATGTAATATAATAAGAATATATTGAAAAGCTTTGAACGTGTTTATCTCGAAACCATATTTCTCAAACTGGTTCACACAATAATTCATAAACTACTCGTTTAATTTACATGTATAATACATCTAAATATTCCTAATTAATATTTTTGCACTGATGTAGGAGTTTTTCGGAACAAAGTAACAGATCCGTTTTAATTGGCAAAAAACTACGAGAACGAAAAAAAAACAGTTTTTCTTTAAACCTGTATCAATTTCTTATTTCATCGAATTTCCAAAATCGACTACGTTAGTGCATAAACAAAAAGTGTTTTAAATTTTTTCAATAATTTAATTTCAGATCACTCTGCTCGGAGAAAACGTATATAGACAAGGTAAACGTATATAAAACAGTCTAAGAAAATTCGTCTTATGTAATAGATTTAATTACTACTAATATATAAACAATGTCCAAACATAAATAATTGACTTTTATACTTAAAAATTCTATTTAACTCATATATTTAATGAATTCTACCTTGTTTTTACTATTATTTCATTTCACTAAAATAAATTACAAAAAATGGACTCCGACTTTTCGAACGTCCAAGGTGGCCTGACCCCTTGAACCGTAACAGCACTAACCGATACCGAAACATACGCATAGCGGAAATAACATTGAAGTGCTCTCCAGTAAAACCTTGATAAAACGGTTTTCCGCGCGGTCACGCGCGAGGAACGTGTTTGTCAAAATCCACCTTCCGTAAACACGTATACCAGGTCGCGCCAAGGCACTTCTCACTAGTAGCAAGAAGATGTTTTCGGCGATGTCATCTTCGGATGGGCGGTACATTAGAGATACCTAAGATTTCCCCCATCTGTCTGGCGGCTGGTTTCTACGTTTTCAAATCCAGATCCACGCTCTCAGTTACCGCTACACATTTTTTCCCTATACTCGATACAAATATATCTGGACTTTAGTTCGGTTGTGCGAATATGCGCCACGCGTCGCGTATATTTATATATGCATATATTACACACGTATCCTCTCCGTGCACCACGTTAACTTTTTTATTGGTAAAAACAATGATATAATAAGTCGTTCGCGCTACGAAAGTATAAAAATAAATGTTATGTCGTGTGGCGGAAAGGGAAAGGGAAAGAAAGAGAGAGAGTGAGAGAGAGAGGAAGAGAGGCGAGGAAAGGGTAGGTTGCTGATGAGGCTTGTGGGGCTTCTTCTTTTTTCTTCGATCGGTGCTTCAGTCTCGCACTACACACCATTGAAATTAGTCTCCCTCGGGCCGCGCAGAAGCGTTTGCATACCAGCATGCTCCTGCTGCTCGCGACATCGGTGTGTGTTATTTCCATTCAGGCCGGGTTAACGGGACGCGCGATCCTCACCTCGTTACACCCTGAATGCGCTTGCATGCACACACACACATATACACACATACACGACGCTCCCTAATGAATGATGATCGGTACTTTGGAGAATGGTACCACAACATGTGCATGCTGCGACGCGAAGTTGCGTAGAAAAAGACTCGTTTATTCGTTCACCACCACCGTAGGCGCGCGTGGCCGGCAGAAACGCGACGCTTGTCATCCTGTTAGTTAGACGCTCGGACGAGGCTACTTGGACTTGGCGTGAGACGTTTGATGCTTAGTGTTGTATTTGTTACCCCAGAGATAGTTGTTCAGCGTCTCGCCGACAAAGTACAGGATCATACAGATGACCAGCAGCACCACGATGAAAACTATCCGCAGCGGTAACGTCAGTACCTCCATCACAGGGTACACCCAGACGCCGCTCTTGAAGTAGATCACGTGCACCCTGAAATATTCCCCGTCAAAAACGATATGTCGTTGCAGGATGTACGACATGACGATTTTACTCGCGACGATTTTACTTTCTTCCTCAATACGGTCCGATAGTTCGTCAAATTGCTGGCCGAGATGTTCGCTCTACGTTCACGTTACGTCCAGATATGTTACGTTGGGAGTAGGGGAGGAGTGATTAACGATTATTCGTCTGCGACGCGTTATTACATCCCTCTATTTATACTTTCCGGTAGAAAGACGGACGGAGATACGTAGATCCGATTCACTTACCAGGCTAAGTATATGAACATGAAGCCTCCGAGTATCCCGAGACCGCGGGATCGCTTGGGATATTGTCGCGGCGCGACGATCATTTCCAATACGGTCGTTACCATAATCAACGTGTGCAGCAAATGATTCAACCACCATGGAAAGTACGGGTCCAATGCCTTGGGTAATACCAGTTCACGGTCGACGAACATCAATGTCCAGAAGATGACGCCGACGAACTGTAACACGCGACGATGTATCGGCATTGTACTTAAGAAGCGTTACTTTTCCTATCAAGTTTTACAGAACACGGAAAATCCTTGTCTACTTACGCGAATATTTAGACATACAATAGTTACATAAACAGTGATTTCCTTCCCCTCTCTTTAAAATGTTATGTCGGATTTAAAGAACTGTATTCTACTATATTTTAGTCAGAACTGTACTTTACTATATTTTAGTCAGAACTGTCGACTATATTTTAGTCAAATCAACACGATTTTCTGACCTTGAACTAAGAACTTGTTGCAAAAATGATTAAAATATTTGAATTTTTTATTCGACGGATTTATATAACACGTGGCTTCATTAATATACGGCAACTGTGCACTGAACGAAAGATTTTTTCGAATTTAATAAATTTTGTTACAACCACACAAATTTCATAATTGGTATGCTCCAAAGAAACTAATGTTTTGATTAATAAGTACGATTGTTAGACTTTTCAACGAATATGTGTCTTTATCTTAATTAAGAAATTTGTTTAAAACGAAAGATAATTTTCTTATAGAGAAATTATTTGCTTCATTTTACGTATTTATTGTAACAAAATGATATTTTATTTAGTTAAAAGATATTATTTCAAGTAATGACGTTCTTCCTGTTAAATAATAGAGTTTTCTTGAATGCGATAATAAAATTTTTATTTAAATAAATAATATTTCGTATATGTTGTTTCTACGACACGAATTTTAATCAAATAAATAGAAATACCAAATATAAAGAAACCTTTTTCTCTGTGTATGTAGAGAAAAAGATCTCTTTGGATTTAATAATATTATTTTAATTGAAACAAATATGTCTTTTGGAATGGAGCAAACAAACGAATGTTTGATTCGACAAACAGGATTGTTCGATTTCTCAAATAATAAATATCTTTACGTCAAATGACATATTTCTTTTGTATTTTCATCCAAATATTACAATGTTTGTCACAAGCAATAAATTATTTGAAAAAAGTAACATTATGTTAAAAAAATATTAAAGAACTTTTTATTTCAGTAGAAGATAATATTTAATACATAATGAAATAAATTTTTATTGAAAATGAAATGTTATATATTTCCTCTAAATAATACTGTTTTTTTTCTATCAAATAACATGATTTACTTTAATGAGACAACTTTTTCTTTCAAACACAAAATCTTTGATATTTGATATTAAATTATGTTTGTATTAAACAAATCCAAGTCAAGCAAATATGTATACAAAATCCAACGAAACGTTTTTCTCTGTATAGTTGCCGCGATATTGTGAAGCAGGATGGAGATTTAAAAAGAGGACCAACCAACTATGCTCACCATGGCGATGGGAAATCCGAGACTCGCGTGTAAGTCGTCCTTCAGCTTTCGTATGAAGGGCAACTTCTTGGGGTTCACGGCGTTTGTGCCGAAACAGTCGTTCAGGACGCATATCAGAAAGAACACCGCTTGCAAGATCTACAACACAATTAGCGTTTCGAAGTGTTCCAATTAACAGGTCGATGAATTTTCGCAGTGATTTTTGCATTCAACGTGTAACCTAGGTTCACACACATGTGTGAACGCTGCTTAAAGTTGAGCGAGGTTTAATTAACATTATTGAAACGACCCTAAGTGACATCGTCGTCGGATGTTCCCGTCGTTATTAAGAGCGCTTCGCGTATGTTAACAACTGCGTCTCGAGTTTAAATAATCACGACCGGACGAAAATCCAAGGAATGTCTGTGAGATAATTTTGTAAATACGACATCATTCGTTCGTTGCATTTAAAAGAGGAGTTGCGATAATGATATATGGAGCAGTCGTTAAGTAGAGTGACAGATAATAAAAAAGTAGATTTCAGTAAATGTGTCGCAATGATGTCACCATTGTTATCGTCGTATACCCGTATTTATGTGCATACACGAGTGCAAGTTGCTCTGTTAACATTCGCGCAGCTTGACGAATTGGTTTAATTTTCCCAAATCGATCGTATCGCGTAATTGTCCGGTTTATTTTTCACCTATGTTATTCCGTCGCACGCCGTTTCCTTTGTTACACCATTCTTTTATCCCGGTTTGTCCGAAAATTTACTCGATACGTCTGTTTCAAATAATGGAGCACGCGCAATACGCGTTGCACGCAAACATGTCAAGTGACACCTCGACTTGTTGACGGCGCAACAGGAAGGGACCTAATTAATCGTGTGACTCGGAATTAATTAACCCCTTGGGTACATTTGACGTCTGAGAGATGTCATTCACTTGTTTTCCCTTCGTTTGGCAGCGAAAAATTGGGCACACTTTCCTGAGAACGTTCCGTCAACTAAGTCCAAGCAACACCCTGGAAAAAGATACCGTGTTTGTTATAAGCATAATATTAGGAAAGAGACTACGTGGCAGTGCAAACAATGCAAAGTAGCACTGCACTTACCTACTTGCTTTGAAAAATATCACATTCTGCATAATTATTAGTAATTGGTTTTTTGTTATAGCTTGAATTTATTTCATTTAGTTTTATTTTGTTGTTATTAATTTATTTTTGTTTTGCAATTCTAATTACTTGAAGACATCTTAATACTACATATGTCACCAATATTTTAGAAATAAATAAATTCTTACGTAAAATGTACTGCTTTTACGTACTACTCCAAGCAACCAAAAATTATATCCGTTCCACATGCAAATATTTTCTCAAATAAATCCGTACCCAAGAGGTTAAGCGATTCGCGTTAACCAACTTTCGGTGAAATCGGGATCTTTCGAACGCTAAAGTCCAAATTTTACTTTATTTTAATCGCGCGACACTCGAAAAAGATGTGTCCATAATGAGGAAATTTAGATTGGCTTTTTGTCGAAGAATTGAAGAAAAGGGGTCACGAGACCGGTTTTACATTCGATCGCCGATGCAGTTTATTTTCCTCATTTTATTATGCAAAAAGTCAACTCAATGAGTGCGCGTTCCAATATAAGTATCGATTGACTGACGTTGCACATAAGCAGTCTTGCATGTCACGTGCCTCCGTTTGCGGATAATATTAAGCGGTGCTTGAACAATTGAATTTTGCTCTTTACGAGCAGTCTGATGACGGCAATTTAAGCATGAAATGGCCGAGAGCGTGTCATCGTTCGGCGATAAGTGACGATCTCGGCGAATTTAGAGCTACAGCTCTTTTGACTCGACGGGACCGAGCCGAAAAAAGCGAAAATTGCACTCATCTTTGAGGGCCTTCGTTATTTGAAAAAGAACTCGTGAATATAAATATCAGTCGAAAGACATACCGATGTATTAGATATATAAATTAATTCGATGCCTTTGCAATTTAATGTCCTGTAACTCTGGTTCAAATCAAAATATTTTTCTTGTCCTATGGTAATTTGAAAGTGCCAACCTTAAGCTTTAAGAAGCACTATAATAGTTGACGGCCTTGCCGATATAACCTCAGAAAACAGTATCATGGTGTTGTTCGAAAAGAAGCGTCTGAGGCACTGTATCCTTTTTGCATTCCAATTAAATAAAAATGCTGTTCAGTCTACCGAAATAATTTGTTCCGCTTTGGGTGAAGGAACTATGTGAAATTTGTAAAAAGACCCTTTACTGGCAAAACCAGGCAGGTGATTCTACTGCACGATAACGCGCGGTCATACTAATGTGATCAAAAAATATCCGAACTTTATTTTTATAAAATAACAATTCAATCAACAAAATTCTTATAGTCTCCTTCAAAGTAGTCCCCATTGCTTGCAATACACATATATCAGCGTTTGATCCAGTCCCTGAAACATCGCTCATACACAGCAGACAGTATGGCCTTCACTTCAGTTCACGCAGCAATTTTTCTTTGATGTTCTACATCGATTCGAAACGCTGTCCGCGAAGTTTTTCAATAGAGGGAATAGGAAAAAGTCGCAGGGAGCCATGTCTGGTAAATACGTTGCTTGCGGAGCGACTTCGTTGGTTTTTGTCAGAAGTTCACGACAAGAGAGTTATTTAAAAGTCAAGTACAAGTTTAGTGTTCGAAGTAATTTCAATTGCTATCTAATTTTTTTCCTTTTTTTATTTATTTTAAAATTTTCAGTTTCAGCCAATTCGAGAACTCCACTGAAAGAACTCTCCCGTAATTGCTGATTTCGCTGTTAAATGCTGATGAGTATATCCCGTTTCCCTACGTTCTCAGCTCGAGAGATATTATATCACCGTCATTTGCGATTTTTGCGATCAGGCTCTCACACTATATGGTACTGTCGGTTTTCACTATTACGTAACACAGCAATAAGGATATATTGCACGGCTAGATTGTTAGATGTGCGATCGCGCAGAATCGTTTTATGCAAAGAATAATCGAGTTTCTTGTCGCCTCATAGAAGGCAGTAGACAGGTAATCTCTTTCGGAGGATACAGAGAAGAAAAAATCAAGTGACCGTACGGTATGTTCACGGGAAGGATGAAATAAAAGCGCGGTCTGTCTAATGATCGCCGTGGCTGGAAAGCAGTACGTAACACCTTTCTAATACTCGGAATTACTACTTTGCTACGTTATTGAATTGCTATCCATTAAACTTAATGTTGCCCATTAAGCTTCCCACAAGATACAGTTCCTATGAAGCTAATCGACAGTGGACGCGCACAATCTCGAGAAAAATGGGGACTCGACATGGACTTTATCGGACCTTCAAATTCGCGGATCGCCGCGTCGACGAAAACTATACCTCGGTGTGAATTTTCCCATCGAATTTCCACGTCGCGATGAAAGGAGAAAAAATGTGGAACATTTCATCGCGATAAAAATGTTACGATAATGCATCGGTCAGAGAGTCTCGTTTCGGCGATAATCGAGTCCCACTAATTGCAACAGCGAAGAAAATCGATACGCGAGGAATGTATCAATTCGCGCGTTCGGTACTTTTGCATTCAACGGATGAGTTTTCCCATATTCGAGGAAACGTGTTTATACACTTAAATAATGCGTGGCTGCATGACTTTATCTTATGAAAGAACGAAAGGTTCAATGAATTGAGCGTGGCGTAAGATCCTCTCCGCGTGAATATGGCCGTACGGAATGTCATTAAAGCGTAGCATTTTACGCCTGTGCATGGCGCCTGACTGATTCGCACGCAAAAAGAGCTACGGTAACTTCATTAATGAAAGAGCGCGCTCACAAGTTTGTCTTGATCGATACTAACCGCGTCCCAGAACGTCAGAAACTTGAACTTCCCACCAAAGGCGCCGTGCCCCTTCAGGACATTGTGCGGCACTATCGTGTACGTGTAATCGTAATAAACCGCGAAAGCGTACTGCAGGAAAGTAATCACGTGAAATCCGATCGCTAGGCCCTGTTGCATCTCACGGCTCGTTCGCAGACAATCTGAAACGTGCAATTGATACTTTTTCTCCCTTTTTTTCTTTTTTTTCCGGCAACCGCACACACATGTCGCGGCGTCGGTCATGTAACCAGAAACGAGTGCGCTCGGTCGCTCGTTCGTTTTTTCGTGAAAGGATACATGAGAGTGACTTTGAATAAATGATTGAAACTGCATTTGATGTCGTCGAAGTCAGGTTTTTCGTTGAAATATTTCCTCGCAGCAATGTCACGCGGAATGGGCAATGTGTCTGGCAGCAAGAAAATTAATATGCATGTCCGTATAGTGAGAACGTTAAGTTAGATTTCACACAAACGAAGATTTTAAACGTGCCCCAATTCATTCATTCATCGAATTCATTATCAAATCGTATGTTGGGATGAAAAAGGAAAAATACACTTTCTCTCCGATATCTTCTGCAGGAAAGAAGGAATTTTACGAAATATTTTCGCGCGTTGAAACGAGAAATCGCCGTTTTCGCAAACGACGTCGGTATCGAAATGTGTCGATGGACGATTTCTTACATGCAGCTATTCGAATGGAATATTCGCGAATTTCGAAAATATTTCTAGGCTGTATCATGCATATAAAAAGCGGTACGGAAAAAGAAAGTTGATAATCTCTCAACTTCTCAATGTATGTTATGTAAGTGAGTTACACCTGCGTTACATAATTTATACGTAACTAAGTAAATGCTGTCTGGCGAGCATACGAGATAAGTCTCAATTTTTCTCCGCTTCTCTTTTTCCATCGAAATTGCGCTCATTATTATTTCACCTGAACAAATAAACGAACAAATTGTACCGATTTTTTTCTCGTAACAACTACGAGAATGTGCGAACGAACGAACGAACGATCTCTACCTTTTAGCGCGTTTTCGCGACAAAAGAATGAGCGAAAAGTGGTCTGCGTTTCCTTTCGATACGCGAAGAAACGACAAGACGTTATGTCACGGAAAAACTGGGAGGGATGTTAAAACAATACTTGGACGGCGACCAGGAAATGTTCGCGTTTTATCTTTCGCTTAAGTGTCGCTGCTAATCACATTGTGCAACACAAAAGTACTTTAAGCAAGTGCAAAGTATATCACCAGACACCTCATTGACCTTAATTCACGACGCTTCGTCGACACATTCGTCGACGCTTTCTTACACGGGCCGTTTTTATGATGATTAGTTGCGAAAAGAGATGTGTTTGCAATAGTTAATAATTAAATGACAACACTGTGTTATAAAGACTAAAAAGAATTGCGGAAAAAATTCAAGAAATCATTGAATTTATGGAATTATGAAATTATGGAATTATGAAAAGAGAAAAAAGGTTCTACAAATTGAAGAAAGACTCCTTGGAACGAAATTTTAGCGCGAAGAATTTGAAAGAATTTATAACGTGCGTATGAAGCTCTCGATAAATTACATTTAATGTTGTTTTTTATATTTTTCACTAAGTCATCGGGGATTTTACCGGTTCATCTATGTAGATTCTTTTTATCGTATGTTTATCGTATCGTATTTCTCGGCCGTGCAGCCGAAGCGTGAAATTAATAAAGCATTTCCGTTTCGCAGATTTAATATGGACTGCGAAGCGCTCAAAGAAATATTAAACGATCCGATGCTAGTTATTAAGTTATATAACTCGCTTTGCGCGGATAGTGATTTTTGTTAGATCGCAGTTCGCGAATCTGGAGCACGATTATTTTCCCGATGATGACGTTTACTTTGCGATTGTCAATAAACCGTCACCCGATATTTGTCTTTTTTTTTCTCTCGTTATATCTCACTGAATACGCCAGCTATCAATCAAAAGTTGTCAACTTGCAGTTGTCCGTCAAAACAACGGAGGACAAGTCGTATGTCAGTTAGAGGACACGTTGAAAATAATTACGAGCACAACAAATTAACTGTGAGACAGAATTACGAAACGAAGGCAGTAAGGAAAAGTATAAATTACAAGAATATCCCACACCTTAATCAAGGGATATCCTCTGGATGTTTTCAGGACGTCCCTTGTAATTCTACGCGCTATATCTTAAATGGAATATATTTTAAATAAAACAAAATAGGGGCGCGCTACGCAACAATATTGTGACGTTTACATCGTGCAGATGAGATGATCGCCCGAACTGCGAAAATAACGAGATCGGGGAAGTCATGATGTAAAGTGTTCGAAGAAAAAGTAAATAAAAGTAGAATATAATTTGAATATTTTCATGTGCCTTTGACATACGCGTACAAACGGAAGATAACAATTCATAGCTCCGAGGAGGAAATTTCTCTTAGCAGATTCGCGTCCGATTCATGCAACTTTTTTCACGGAAAAGAGATTCCCGCGCAGCAGACACCGGAGTACCCCACGTGTGTGTTACGTCGCGCGAGCAATCCCGGCAGCCCTTGCCCACGCGATCTACCCGCTGTTCGATAAATAGCGACTCCGCGGCGCCACGCCGGGGAATGGACGCAGCGCGGAATCGGCGCCGACGAATTCGGACACCACCTGACCAACGCGTCGTAAAATACCTAACCTCTTTCTTTACGGAGGTGGTGGCAGCGGCGGCGGTCGCTGTTGCACAACGCCGCCGTCCACCGGCGACCAGAAAAGGGCGCGATCTCGACGAGGTTCAATCTCCGAGGCCATAGTTACGGAAAAATGCGCCTTACGGCGCCGAGTTGCGGATAAAAACATAGACATCATCTTCGCGCGTCTTAAACGCCAACGGATTCCGTATTTACCAAGACACTTTCGGCGTCTATTTTGCGAGCACGAAGAAGAGGAAGGTCAAATTCTACTTTTACCATCGTCCATCGACACGATCACGTCTCTAGAGAAAGAGAGAGAGAGGGAGGGAGGGAGGGGGAGAGAGAGAGTGTGTGTGTGTGCATGTATGTGTGGAGAGGAAGAAAGAGAGCGAGAGAGAGACTTATTTTTAATTGGTCCACGGCCGTCTCCTCGACCTCGAAGCCGATCGATCTACCCTTACTTGGTACGGAAAACACGCGCTTTGTCGCGACGGTTCTTAAAGCGAGCCTACGCGCACAGTGTCTGTGTTTCTTTTACTGGGACGTGAATCCCGTCACGTTTCACAAGGTTGCACATAAACCTCCTCGAAGCGTTCGTGTCGGCGGTTCGCGACTTACTGACGGATTATGGAGTAAACCGGAGGGATGGAAAGGGAGAAAGACCGCAGCGTGCGTGCGTTTGGCACCGGTTCACGCGGTCGCGTTCGGGATGGTAGGGAGGACCAGTGGCGCATTAAATAACTCGGTCGCCCTACGCCCATCGTTTTTTGCGGCCTTGTTCTTAGTGCGAGTAGAATTAAGCAAGTAGAAAAATTATAACCCTCATTGAACTGAGATAGAGAAGAATTCTAGCGAGGGAAGACTTGTTAATCACCAACCGATAATTCGAGAGGAAGAATATCGTCGTATATTCATTGCTTACAATATTGATCTCGTTTATTTCCATTGCTATTTACGGGCTACAAGTAGATATCTAGTTTGCGTGGGCGTAAAATAGGCTTTCTCCATGCTATTATCCATTAGAAGAGCCGGTTGTTTGCGAATGTATATTAAACACAGTATCGTCTCAATCACTAATCTTCTGGTACGCGCTTAAGTGTATCTGACAGTCGCCAGTAAAATAAAATGTGTTGCGGGACACATTTGAGAAATGCCTGGTCATTCTCGGTTATTAATTAAATATAACGATGCAATAATTTTTATCAACGGGCGCACTTTAAGTTTCACTTTGAAACGATTTCTTCATCTTCGCTGTCGTTTTCATGTAATTTTACGTATGTGGTATGATTTTTAGACTTGCGTAAGTTTACATAAGTCAGATTTCAAATATAGTCACGGGTGCTATTTGAAACCAGTTATTTCATAAAAAGAACGAATACAATCAATTTGACAAATTGATAAAAGACCTCATCCTAAATCGCTCTGCGATCCGATTTCAATTTTAACCTTTGACTGGCCAATTGGAGCATCTGATAAAGTTTCAACAATTCCGGAAACAATCGGTCGTATGTAACGAAAGAAATCGGGACGTGCACAGATCGTTACAGAATTATTAGCGCGATACGGTATTCATCGCACACAATGTATTAATATTGATCAAAAACGAAAAGACGACGGTGACTTTTCAAAATCGTCTTTCGAAAAACGAAGTCCGCGTGAGAAAAGTTTTGTTAATTTGTTTTTTATCGCGTGAATATCATCGCTTGTAAGACGAAAATTCATATCTTACAGTTGAAAAGAAGTATGTGACTTACCACATTCCACATCGTTAAGAACTTAAATTGTCCGGGATCAAAGTCCTTGAACTTGTCCGCCAACAAAGGAATGTGTATTACAAGGAAAGAGTAGTACAACGTGAAGCCATAAGTCATCACGTTGACCAAATGGACCAGCATGTTGAGAACGTGCGCCATCTTGTCGAGATTCTGTCGAATTTGATAAAAAAGCTTTAGCGTAATATTTCATTTTTTATAAGAGATCCTTTTATTAGATTACATGAATATTTTTATTTCGATAACAAGTTTTCTTCTAACTATTCAGCATTGAATAAAGTTTTAATTAAAGCAACGTCATGATTTGCCCGCATAAACGTAAATAAGCAATTAATTATGAAAAAATTACTATGAAAAATAGTAATATATATAACTATTTATATAACTATATATATAACTATAAAAATAGTTATTATATATATATTATCTTAATATCATAATACATTATCATTATATTTTGAACTATGAATTGATCTACTTTGTATAACGTTAAGATAAAAGCCAAATATTACGTAATATTGGCGTCTAATCTACGCAACACGTAAGAAGGTTAACGATAACAAAATACATTTTTAATTTATAACAATTTTTAACTTAATTAAAAATTATGTAATTTTTAACAATTTTTAATTTTCCTGCTCAAGGTTAAAGATACGGTTACATCTATCACATTTTTCACAATTACGTTATTTAGGCCGATTTATTCGTAATCAGATCTTATATTTAAGACTGTCTTAAGTTCATCTTCAGATGCTTCGTAGCCAATAAAATTAACCATAGAGCATCTAAAGGTAAACTTAAAACAGTCTTACATATAAGATCCAATTACCTGAACACCGATTTTACCTTCTGAAGAGATCATTACAAATATCAATACAAATTATCGAAGCACGGAGGTAACAAATATAATTGAACGTTATCTTATTTCATATTAGCGATCGATAAGTTTATAAGACAAGTTAAATGTACGGAGTGTTGAATTAACAAACTTTCACGGCATGTATTAGGTTGGAAACTATGAAGAATACCTTTAAAATTTATAAATAAAAATATCAAGCGCACGTTGTAATGAACCTCTCTCAGTCGCAATTGAACACAGAACCAAAAACGCCCGTTTCATAGTTTCCAACCTAATATTTAATTTCTTGTGTGTACTTAATCTCTTTCACGACATCTCGACCGACACGAGACGAGTGTTCTTCAAAGAGAGTCATTGCAAACTCTCATTTCAACGAGATATCTCTCTTTCTCTTTCTCTCTCCCATGGTTTCCAGTGACAACGCAACAATATCTGTGTTTCTAATCATGCAGTACCGAGATACGCGCGCTAATGTGCACTCAAAGCTTCGTACAGTCGAAGGAGTATCCGAACATAAAAGAAATCGGTTGTAAGGTCATAGAATTTCTTTGATCTGTCACGCACATAACTATCGGGGTTGAGGTTTCCGCTCATAAAAATCTCGATATCACCACGATCAAATCAACGAACGATTCTGCCGGTTGTTATATAAATGACGAGACCTCGAGATAAACACCTATCTATTACACTTAATAACGCGTTATGACAACAAGACAACGATAAAAGAGGCTTATCGGCACTTCCGATCGCTAAGGACATAGGTAGGACGTTGGTAGGACTGTTTTTCCCAGCGGATGTTTGTTCGTTCGAGAAAAACAAAAGAATTTCAACCACTTCCGAAACATCAGACTCTTCAACGATACGATGTTATCAATTATGTACCACGAACGATAGTTGGAAAAAACGATAACTCGGCCGGCTGGCTTCGGTGATCATCTTTATCAGAAAATTGCCCAGGTCGAATTGATCGAAGACAGAGGAAGAGCATACTCGATTTTTCGCGGCTAACCGACGTGATCGAAGTATCCGGCATTTCGTACGCGACCATCTAATTGTCTCGAAATAATATTCAGTCAGTAGTGTTACCTGGTCGTCGCACCGCCGACAATGACCGTGTCAGATGGTGTTGGCCGTCGGAGTGAGTCGAATACGGGCCGGCGGGTCCGCGCCAACTACCGAGAATGGATCGCACGATCCGTACGAGCGTACTAGCTGGACTGGAGCGCACTACTATTAAGAACTCGATGCCGAACCGTCGATATGCATGCATCGAACAGCTATCGGTCAGCAGAATGACGTCCGCATTTATACGTCTGTCTGCGATTAAACCGGGTGGTGGACTCTCAGTCGGGTCACGATTGCAACTCGCCGCAATATTTCACGATAATCGTCGTGTTTATCGACTCGATGCGCGTTCCTCAGCCGGCGATCCATGAGTGTAGCAGACGAAAGAGGAATTATAGTGTCGGCGGGCAGCAATGCGCGAGTGATAACGCCTCCTCAACGTTGATACACACGCGTCAAGGCTAACGAGAATGACTTTTCCTTCACTCACGCACCGAACTGTTAATTAGGTGGGTGGAGCACGTCGCGTGGCAATTGAGAAGGAAAATGCTCGGGAAAATACTGTTTACGCAATGTGGAAGGAGGAGAGCGACTGAGACCTTAAGACGCATGCGAGAAAAGATTTGAAAAATGTAGTTTGGCATGATCATGAAAGTATTCTTAAATGTGTAGTACGTGTGTGGAATAGTTGTTAGCGTCAAGTATAGAATCTACAACGCGTCGCGTTGATGAAAATCTAATACAATTAAATTGTCTGCTCCGATTCTCCTGCGAAATTTTATCTCGTAGACGGCCTCCAATCGTACTAAAAAAAAAAAAAAACAAAAATCTGAGGCGACGAAAGACGATGATAAAGCCCATACAACTGAATCGTTAAATACGATGTGTCAAAGGCCAATGACAGATCATACTTAACATATCCGGATGCTATCCTTTGCTCCCGGATACATATGTTGTTCTTCTGGTGAAAAATATAAGAGCGTGATAACACAGCGTTACAGTATATATAACACGAGCAAATATAACATTATCATGATAATTCGCTGTCGTGCACTTACAACTTACGCTTATCAACGAATATATCGATATGACGTAGAAGCCCGTTTTATTCAAATATTCAAAAAACGTCCTAGAGATCTGTTCTGGAATATTCGAATATTCCTCGGACGTTTCTAGGTCTTTCGAACATTTGTGCTGTGTATGGGAATTGTGGAAAAACTTTTGCAGCTTAATCGAAGAATCGGAAAGAAGATTGTACTTAGAAGTAAGAGCTTTTTTAAGAACGACAACAGGAAGGTGTATGCAAAATAAAAACCGAAGATAGTGAGACGCTTTTATACGTTTTAAGGATTTTTTAGCTCGACACGTTGGAAGTAGAATCGACATCGCGCGTGGCAA